AGAAGAAAAGGAAGCGACAAGAGATGAGGACGAAGCTCGATTGTTTTTACGAGGAGGCGCGTATGAAGTGGCAAGGTTGGCAAGATTTGCGAGATAAGAATTTAGAATAAAGCAGAGGACAAGATACATCGTTTCTACTTATTGTTGGCAATTCTCCGCAGGGGAGAAAATTAACGTAGTACAAGCTCGAAGTTCACAACGCGAAGACTTGAGCAGAGAAGTGAAAAACGAGAGGTTCTTCGTGCAGGGAAGTCTCGATGAACGAATCTATTATCCCGGTCCTGTGTTCCAGACGTGTATTTACACCGAAATTACACGTCCGTATGGTTAATGATCGGTCTGGGCAAACTCACCATCGTTTCATTTCGCCGTGATTCAAACCACGAATTTATCTCGAAGAAAAATTATTATTCGAGTAGTAATTTCGTGGTTGCTATCTTTCTTTGTGTTGAATCTTATACTGCAGTTATTGACTTAATATTCAGTAGAATATTTTTTTTTTTAATTATTTTCTTACAGAATATTACTTTGTTATGCAATATTCAGTTCAAAAATCTATAGAGCAAGATCTCTCGTCTGTGAAATTTTGAGTTCAAATCCGTCGAGACGTATTTGTATTGTCGATTTTAAATTCTATAGAACATCGAGACTTTTGCTGTATATTAATTTCAAGCGTGGATTTTCCAACAGAATTGGAAAATTCAAAATTCTGTAGAATATCAAGCCTATCGAATTATACATGCTTTATGCATTTTTTCGTCTTCAAAATTTTCATAAATGCAACAGAAGATCTCCCGAAAATTTCGTGACTTTTAACTTTTAACGCGTACACAATAAACGTATGAGAATACAGTAATGTTAACGATAGAGCGAATCTATAATTTTTCAGCAAATATTGTGTCTCGTGTTACCAATTGATCATCGTTAGTAAATATTAATCTCGACGAATCGTTTCAACCGTGTATAATCCGACTCGAATCAGCAATCAAAGAGTCATTGAACGAGGCGTTAAAAACGTGTAAATTCGTGTGAAAAGATTCTTGATTAACGGACAATGATTGTGTTCGCGGATAGGACAGAGAGTTATTATCGGTCCTCGTGAATTCGGCCTCGTTGATGATTAATTGCGAACGAAACACGGGGTCCTGGCTTTATTTGCCTGTGCAACCAACGATGTTTCCTTTGTTCCGCGAGGAATTTTCAGCTCTTTCTGAAAAAGAACACCGCTCAGAGATGGAAATTGGCACGATAACGAGACGCTTAATTATTCAAAACGACATACAATTCGGAACGTCCAAACGACTTTTTAAAAATTCAACAGAGCGAGAACACCGGCTCTTATTATACCGACGAATATTATAGAATATAAATAATAAACAAGCGTTTATGCACAGTAGGAAAGGAACGCAGAGTCGTTATTTTATACTTTTGACAATCGCGTTTTATGTACTTAATCCTTTATTTGTCATTAGTTTCTCGTTTGCTTTAGTACCGATGAATTCTGTATTACAGATTATTTAAATTCCTCTTTTAATCGTGTTTCTCTATTATAAAAAAAGTTTTCCTGAACTCGAAGAAAATATAGAACGATCATTAATATAGATAGAATCTTTGGTAGAAATAAAAGGAACGAAAATGATATTCCAAAAAAAAGAACATTTACTGAAATATTTTATTCATTATTATATTTCGTATTTTATGCTTGAATGTTTATTTCAGAAGATATTTAAAATTATCATTTTCATATCGGTCACGTTTCACACCTAAAGGTTAATTAACAAAATATCGATATCGTTACTATTGTAGAAAATGTATACATATTGTACAATATGATTAACAGTACCACATTATGTACATATTGTACAATATCATTAACAGTACCACAGACGAGATATAGAAAACATAAAACATAAAACATTTTGTTTCTAAAGACACAGTATTATTTGTAAAAATTTAATAATGATAAATTTGTAAAAGTTTTAATAATGATTAGGAAAAATTGGGACAAATAAGTGAATTTATTTTATTATTATAATTTTATATTCGACTTCAATAGAAAGAGAATTGTAAAGAAAAAAATTTAAATACAACATGTATATAAAGTACTTACATTTTCAACTTTTGAAGCATCATAGAATTCTTGGAGGATTAGGAGAAATGGAGACCATAGAGAATCTGTAACAAAATAATATAAAACATTAGAATTTGTATTTAAAAGCAAAGCAGAATCTTAAGTTCGAGATAATAAAAGATTCTTACATTCTTGGTTTTGGAGCCACTGTTGGATTTTCCGCAAAATCAAAAAGTTGATACTGCGAATAGTCTGTAATAAAACATCAAACATAATACTTTGTTGTTAAATTTGAAAAATTGAGTAAATTGAAGTGCAATGTATAAAATTACAATCTTGATCTCCTGGAGAGGCCTTATCCTCTTCAACACTGACTCTAATACCGAAAACGAACACTGAACAAGAAAAAATACAATAAAAGAAAAATGAAAAAACTATCAATGCGCGCATTTAAGTAATAATCGGCGGACTCACTGATTTTAACTTCACGAAATATAATTTAAATGAATTAATTTAATTTAATGAGAGCCATTTTGCTCAGAAAAATATTAAACTATTGCGCAACAAACACTGACTCTACTGACCGCATTGCACGCGGTGTAAAAAATTTTCTGAAAATAAACCTACAGAAAATAGAGGAAGAATACGTTTATTTAGAAAATACTGCTATTTTTTCTAGAATATGATTGTAAAGAAACGTGAATATGTATTAAAAATATTAGTTTTAAATTATTTCAGTACTGAATACTATAAATGGAAGACAATTATTGTATTCTTTGTTATTAGAGTAGGACATATGCACATTAGTAATATATCACGTCACGTGTTATAAATATTCGAAAATGTTTGCACAAATCAAAAATGTGAACAATGTACAGCTATTTACAGCTAAGTATATTTAAGAAACAATACGTGTGAAATCTTGCTTTGAATCGTTTCAATTGCACGTCAGCATTCGAAAGAAGCAAATACAGTATAATAAAGTACATATAAATGAAAACTTTGAATATGATAATCTAATACAAGAATATACATCCATTTGACAATATATGTAGACTGTTAATTTGATCTATATCCAAATAAAATATTAATTGACTTAATCTTTTCTATTTTCATCCAAATAATTACGAAATTACGTATTATATATTGTATCCCAAATATATATGAATTGTATATTAAATGTTACTCAAAGTGAATAAAATATTGCTAAATTTCCGTGAAAGTTCATCAAATTCCATTAATGATCGTGGCATTCTATGCTATCATTGCAACCAAGGAATAACCTGCATAAAAAAAAAAACCAAAAGTTAGAACAAATATGTTAAATGAAGACAAATATGTAAAAGTGAACCGATAATCAACTTGGAATTCTATTAAAAAAGCGTGTGAGACAAGGTACCGTGAGAGTGAAATCAGTGATTGAAGAAAAATCAAAAAAGATTCAAACTCTTATTCGATTTCGTTATTGCTTAATGAATCATTACACATGCGTATTAATTACACCGACACTATTAATAAAGTATAAATGGAAGTAAAAGAGTGTCCAAGAAACGACGCTATCGAGGAGACGCCACCGATAGGTTAGAAAAGTTACGAATCTAATGCGACGAAATACGTGTTATTGTCACGAAATTCAATAACCGAATGACTTTTCACGACTCGTCTCGTCACGCAGTTGGGAAAATAGTAGGGGATGGGGTGATCCTGTCAGAACAGACACGGTAAACATAAATATTGTGTTCGTGTTGTTTTTTACTTCGAATTTCCAGCTCCAAGGCCTTCTACGTTTTGCTTTATTTGAGAACTGAACAATTTCATTGTATTACGCAGTAAAATTATTATTTTAACTATTAAACACGTACATTCTCAATAAATTATTGTTAATACAATTATTAGAATTATGCAGTATGAAGTTATATACATATATAACAATGAGTTAGATCAATTACAAGGTTATATTTCTATTGGTTAGAATTGGAATTAAATTTTGATATAAAATTATAAATAACTTTTAGCGTAATATATTCTATTTAAATGTTTATATGCTATTATTTAATTGTGGAAAATTATATGTAATAATTATTAATTTGATTAAATCTTACCTTGAATAGAAACCAAAAATGTGCGTTTTATTTTAAAAATTGTATTTCACAATACAAACACAAATCCAACAATTATTGGTTTAATTTTTACACGAAAACTTTTAGATGATACTTCATTCTGGATAAGTCTTCTGGATAAAAAAAACTTCCTTCTTTACAGATGAGACGTGCTCTTCCTTCCCCCATGTTTCTCGTTTAAAAATCGATCGTGAGAAATATCGATTATTCGAGAATCGTAGGATGTGTATTGCGTACTTCTCCGTAGTCGCACGTTTCACACAATATTTATAGAATTGAAATGTTTGTAAAATTATTTAAATTGCAATTACATTTTGGTATAAAATTATAAATAACTTTTAGCATGGTATATTCTGTTTAAATGTTTATATGCTATTATTTGTTTAATTGTTGAAAATTATATGTGATAATTGTTTGGTTAAATTTTACTTTGAGTAAGCCAAAAATGCACGTTTTATTTTAAAAATACAAAACAAACACAACTCTAACATCTACTGATTTAAATTTTTACCTGAGAACTTCTGAATGACACTTCTTTCTGTGATTTTTCTGAATAATACTTTCTTCTTTACAGACAAGGTGTGCTCCCTTCCGCCATTGTTCTCGTTTAAAAATCGATCGTGAGAAATATATCGATTATCGTTCGAGAATCGTAGGAAGTGTATTTATGTATTTCACTAATTTACCCAATACGCGCGCATTTCGCACGAAATATCAACTAATAAAAAATAAAAAAATTCTAGTCTAAGTCGGTAAATTAATATCTTCGATTTAAATTCAATAGAAATTTTTTACTTATCTCGTTTCAGGCACTAGCCGGAAGTAAATACGACGACAAGCATCTGATGAGCAACGAGGTAATGGAGAAGACACCGTCCCCGTTGAAATCGACCTACAATTCTCAATCATCGCGAAACTCTGATTGCCCGCCGTCATCCAAACCCGCAATGGCGAATCGTCTGTTGGATTGGTTTTCCGTCGTGATGGCTGACTCTAAACACCGTCGTCAACATCCTAAACCGAAAGGTACGAATGTACATACAGGCACTGGGAACTGGGTCAGTCTTGAGTTTGTACCTTACGATATGTCGGCTCAATTGAATTTCGATAATTAATACTGCGGGGAGTCGTGAGTCCTTGAACTTTCTCTGACATTCCTGGTTATTTCAGTCGAATGATCACTGAAAAAATTATAAGCAGTTAGAAAATTAATAGAAAAGTGAATTATATGTATATATTGTAAGATAGGTTTTTATCTCAATGTCTGAAACAATTTTTTTAATTCAGGAAGAAGTTGTGGAAATTGTATTCAATTATTTTAATTAGTATTGATAATTTTCTTTCATCTGTATTTATTGGAAATAACAAAGAAGGATAATAATTAACCCTTTGATATTGGACAGTGCATATAAGCAAAGCTAAATCTTAATTGTAATGCACATTTTAATGCACTTTGCTAGAAAATCAGAAATTAACACAAGGTCTATAGTTCTATTTTTTATTATTAGTCATTAGTCAATTCCAGAAAGAATTTATTATTACCGATAAATTAAAAGAGTATAAACAAGTTAATGGATCGGTATATTATAACAGAAGAATTTGAGTGAGATTATTAATAGTGCGAAGAAGATTTCAGTGGTTGTTAATTACACTTTGAAAATAGATAGTCGATCTGTTCCTCAAGTAATGAGCAAAATGCTCGCATCGGGCGATAATTTCAGTTAATTTTAGTCGCGTAAACAATAGTCGGGCATAAAAATCGCGTGACCACTGTAACGATAATTGCTGCGCGTGGCATGCTTAACAGCCGGTAGAAACGGAAACGGCGGTGACGTGCTAAAAGTTGCCTTAATTATCAGTGAACTGCACATGCGATGACGTGGCGCAACGAATTAGGGACATAGGTAACGGCCATCGAAATTCTTGCACAGTCACTCGTGTTGTCGTGAACGACGTGTAGCGACAACAAACTAGTTCGGAAATCGTGAACTTGCTTCTAAATTATGTTTCCACTGACGATAATCGTGCGAAATTCTTCCTTAAGGGGCAATTTGGAATCTTTGAGAGGTCCATTGGAAAATTGAATAAAAAAAGGTCTAACATAATACAGAGAATAATCAAATTCCTAATTTTCATAATACATTCGTGAGAAATATAAAAGTGAAATTTTACTATTTTTACTTTATAATAAAGTTTTATGCTACTTAAAAAAAGGCAATATTTTACTACAAATAGACTCTTAAAATATTCACAATATTTTTTACTCTTAATTTTTATGTTTAACTTAATTTCGATTTGTATTTATATTTAAATTTCTTCAACCCTTATATTTTTATTTTGTTGTTATAAAATATGTTGTTTCTCGAGTATTTGAAATAAAAACTCTGTTTGGAAGAAAGATTACGATGACGTAATAGTGGGCTTACAGAGTTAAGACAGTCTCTAAGCTATTTAATCCCTATGGAGATGATTCCCGAGTTGTCAAGTACGACTCGGATGGCTGGTGATTCGTGAAAGCCCGTTAAAACGGTTCCTGAATCACCAGTCCCGATTAGAACGATCATCAAACCGATAATCCAGTCGCAATGACCCTAGAGTCGATACCGACACACTCCTGACACACCAAACCAAAGTCATTCATGATCGCTAGTATTAAAACAGATATTGGTAAAGTTACTGTTTTTTACAAATTTCCCTAAAATTAATGAAATTCATACATATAAGATAATTTGAAAATCAAAAATTTCAACAATCAATCCTTCAGTTGTCATTCTTTTGTTTGATAATACAAATGTTTGATGTCATGGTTTATCGTTATTGATTTTTCTGTTAATAAATGCCAAATAAAACGGATTTTATATTAAAAATATACATGTTTCATCAATGAGTGAAACGTTTTCATTTAATAATTTCATTTACGAGTACGGAAATAATTCTGACTCGAGATACGTTTATCTTTTGTTGTAACTTGTTATTTATATTTAAAACAAATATTTGTACCTTGATGTTTAAATATACCTTATAAATATTTAAAATCTAAACTTTTGCCATTTTAAAACACACTAAAGTTTAACTTTAGCCAAAAATTAACTTTCTCAAATTAAGATTTTTAGGACTTCTAATTTAACTCTTCATTCCACACTTTCATCATTGAAAATGCTCTAAATTACGTAAATCAAAGCTACTCAAATTCTATAATATACAAAACTGATGGAATATTCTTATATAAAAATTAATTTTTACAAAATCTCTTAACCATTCGAGGAATTGAGAGGATTATCTTATCTCGTTGAGCAGCAATACGTTAAACATTGTTCGAAAATCGTCGTTGGCTACAAACTTGAGAATGATCATGCCTCTCGTTGTAGAAACCTCGACGATTGAAGTGAATATACAAGATACTAATTGCTCCACATGAAAAGGGTGGTTTTGAGGCATTACAACGCTCACGATTCGGCATAGTTCGGAACTGTCCCACGTCACTACACGCTATTCGACTTCGATACAATCACCAGTACGAAACGGGAATTGTCCCGTTCAAATCGCTTCCCCTTCGATTATTCGAGTCTATCTCCGTCGATATTGTTTCCAATTTCTAACATTTATCAATGAAATTAAAAACTACGTATTTAATACTTTATAAAAATTCATTTATCTGCTCGAATTTTTCCACCAATCTTTTATAATTTTCATCACTTTCGCTTGTAACTAAAGAGTTTTTAATGATATTATTATATTATTATATAATATAGTAGACTATACGATATAGTATATTACATATACAATATAATACTGAGTTTTATTAGCACTATTACGAAACTCGCCCATTATGATTATATTGGCAAGATTCGAAATAAATGAAGAAATTACAAGATATTTCGCAGAGATCAAGAAAGTATTTAAACAATCAATTATTCATTATATTCAGTGGGATCAGATTATACATTAATGTTTTAACTAATTATAAATAATTGTAACTTTTACATATATTTTCAATTTGGTTTCAAATGTTAACAAGATGAAATTTCAAAACATAACATACACGAACATGATATTCCTCTGCAAGTAGCATACCTCTTACGAGCCAGTGTAACCACGTTCGTCCCGCAGTTACTTTTATTTATCATAAATAAAATGGTAACCATGGGTGTCTCTGATGTAGAGATGCAGCGATATTTATATTTCATCTGCGTCTATCTACAGTGACGCAGCCATCGGAATTCATATTTCATTCGTCCACCGTTTCCAGGTCACTTCCCCATCGGTTGCCAGAGCGAGGTCAGGTGGATGTTCGGACATTTGGACAGCGACAACGACGGCAGGCTCTCTCTTTCCGAGTTGTACGGCCTGGAGCATGATCAGAACGAGCCGTGTCTGAAACCGTTCCTCGACGGCTGCGACACCGACGGGTAAGAACATGACTTCCGGCCACGCGATTATTCCATCCACGTATCCTCCCGCCATGTTGTAAACCGTTTGTCACATCGCGGCGAATTTTTCCTCCCCCTTTCTTTCTTTCCATTTGTTTTCTTTTTTTCTTCTTCTTTTTTTTTTCTTTTTTTCTATGTAATAAAACCCTCGTCCGCTGCTTATAAATCATTAAACTCCGCGGATACGTGACCTGAAAAGAGAGCGAGAGGAGAAACGAGGAAGAAGATAGAGAAACCCTTTCAGTTTTTAATACCTTCGAGGGGCTTGACGCTCGAGCGTAATAGGTCTCGAGCGTACGTGCCTCCGAAGCGGAGTGGGCTGGTCGTTAAGAGCCTGGCACATGGATCGTGTGTGAAACTTTCGTCCCGAGTCAATTGCTTTTTGCTCCGTATGCATACCAGGCAAATAAGGAACGATGCCTCGTTGCGTTTGTTACACCCTCAAGAAGTAGAATTTCCGTTCTCAGGGCGTAGAGATTAAGTCGAGATATTAAGGGGTTGTTACGCAACCTCCATGGAAGGTTTCTCTCGCCATTCTGGGACAGTGAACTCTGTTACCTGGAATGTCGGTCGTTTCGTACAGTTAATTCATAGTAACTTCTTGATGTAATACTGTAAATGCGATGCATTCCTTTGGTATCTATGATGCGAATCAAATGTAGCAGATCAAAGGCATTGAGGATCTAATTACTGAATAGAGGGAGCATATTAGCGGAAATGAAGATCGAATTTGCTCGAGTAGGTAATTCTCGACTGACTTTAAGATCCAAGTAAAATAATTTATTCGAAAAAGGAAGAGATGTCTGAGTAACAAAACTCTCGCAATTACCATCAATCGTTATTCGCAGTATGTTTTATAGTTATATAGTTTTCAATACGCAATGTAGTTTCTACAATCTCCTATAACTTTGAGTGCGTTCTTATCTAACACAATTAAATTATTTTAAAAATCAAAACACAATGCATTCCAAAAGCAACATGTAAATCTAAACCAATTTAATCATCGCAGTTCCAGTGTTAAAATCAATAAAAATCCCTTTTCAATCAAAAGATATATTTGCTACCTACAGAAATAATTCCACATTGCTAGAAATAAACCACATTCAACAATTTCCAGAGACATCTTCGTAAATGGTCCCGAATGGTGCGGATGTTTCTCAAAGGCTGAACGTCCATGCGCCGCTGTACGTAAGCGATCATCCCCTGACGTTGCACCTGCATGCGATTCCCGAGGGTATTACCGAAGTACCCAGTGTCACCGTGGTTTGGGACTCTGCTGGTGTGTAGATCCCCATGGTGTTGAATTCGCCGGAACTAGAACACGTGGCAGCAAGCCAGATTGCGGTAAGTGTCTTTCAATTGCCAAAAGAAATGCTCTTTCGAACGATTATTATTACTTCACTCGTACGTTGATATTTCAGACACGATCGTGAACAAGATCAGCAGCGGAGGATTAAAGACAAACAGCGTGGACCTGGACGACGACGAGGACGGCGGTACAGATTCTGCTCAGGATCTCGAGGGTTCCGCCGATCAGCCGTTAGACTTCTAGACTCCTTAATATCAGCCAGTAACAGCAGCAATGGGAGCAGCACCTTAACGTGATATCGAACAGCCGGACGACGGTGTTCCCTTTGTGAAGGGGAATGAAGAACGCTTGTCCTGGTCGTCCGCTGGTTTCGAGTATCGCCGTTGTGATTGGAGGTGTCTTCAAATGAGAGACAGGTCGGCGAAGGCACGCGTGAGCCTAAAACAAAGAAGTCAGAAAAGCAACGAATAAGTACGAGGATTGATGAAGATGTGACACGAGCAGCGGATACACCCTCTGGCATCGTGGTTGCACGAATTCGGTTGCGTCCTCTTTATCGATTGGTCATGATCCTTAACCCGGGAATGATCATTTTTCAACGATTAATTTCTCGTAACAGTTCGTTCATTGAATTTGTAGATTGAATTGAAACATGGATATTTTATACGAAGGTCTTTTATACGAAAGTCTTTCTGTTTCTGGTTTTTCTTTTTCTTTTCCTTTCGTTGTTTCACGTTGGTGATTAACGTATGTAAATTGATCTGTTCGAGAACACAAGTGCCAAACGGGTTAAGAAGCTGCTGAATCAGAGAAATCGTAAGAAGCTTGTACAGTGCAATAACTAAGGGGCTACATCGTGCAATGGCAATCTCGTGTGATGCTCTATTTCGATCAAAGACCACGACAGGGGACGCGACGAAAGGATCTAACCAATGATCCTTGATCAGATACGTTGTACCCTGTGTACCCATCGAGGTACCTCCATGCACAACTCGTCTATAAATAATATAATTATATACTATTTATGCATATACAAACTAGAGGATTCGCGAGAAAGAGAGAGAGAAAGAGAGAAAGAAAGAGAGAGAAAGTAAAAGAAACAAGAAAGGAAAAAGCAGAAAGAAACAAAAAGAAAGAAGCTCATTCTTCATCGGGTAAAATTCACATGTCCACTCCACGACGTATAGAGATTATGATACCTTTAACAAGAAGAAATACAAAAACAAAAAAGAAAAAAAAGGAAAAAGAATGCTCTATGTAATTATGATTTCTAACCGCGCTAGATTAACGATATCTCGATTTATAATGTCTAAGCATAATATATATATATAAAAATATAATTATATATATATAATACTGTCTATGACTTACGATAATACAGCGGACGAAGACAAGCTGGCTGAGAGAGAAAACCTGGCTGATCGTCAGCAAATGTAAAAGATGCGTCTAACACACTCTTAGAAAGATGCACATGCTTGAAGATGTAGGATACTAAACAGAAAAAGTATTTGCATAAACCGAGTCACGAGTTATAGATTTAATTGAGCTCTCTCTTAATAACGCACCTTCGCTGATTCTTAACACAGAAAAAGAAAGCTAATATAAATTTCCGTGCTTATTTATTTTTTTCACGCTAACGATTAGTCCTCTTTCATCACTTTTGTCTTTATCTTTTTTAATTTTCTTTTCTCTCGTAGCCATCTTGCGTTGCGAGGTTTAATGTAAGATATACTGCATAAAAAAAGAATGACCTATTTCATACTCGCTAACTACTGAATCGTAGTTCAATCACGACGAGAAATTTTTTTTAATCATTATTTTCATGGATTGTAATTAATATTTGACCTTTTCTTGTATCAATAAACACATGTAATTGATTTCCACCGCTAAGAACTATTTCTTCTTTATCTGTAGTAATTTTATATAATTTATAATACAACAACCAAGGATGAAGAACATTTTTATAATGTTCAACGAACATGTCGTGATTCGTCTGCGTTTATTGTAATTATAAGCATTTTTACTTGACTTTTACTTAACGAGTGTGTGGTACACCGTAGGTACTAGAGTATAACATGTAATCCGTAGAAAAACTGATCGGTGTGACTATGTGAATATGCCCTAGTATTAGAAGGCAATTTACGTAGGAATAGCCAGTGCAAATTATACCTATCTCTCATCTAGAACAAACATGGAGATTAATTTTCAAATACATTTTATTTCACTGTACTCGTTGAAATTCAAATCATTTAGCTGTCTGATATATTATTGATTAGAGTTACATGTACTCTGAATTTCAGTACTTACATTTTTATCAAATATCTGTATTTTTTTTCCCAAACAATCAATGGTATATCGAGTAGATAACATCATTACAATGTACACTAAAAATAAATTGTATGTTTTACCATTCTACGTAAACTGACAGAGAATAAAGTTTTTGCATTTTAACAACTAACGTAATAGGTGCCGCATCACTTTGAAACATTTAAAGTAACATAAAATAAGAATTCGTAGAAACTCTCCGTGCCATTAAACATTTGGTGTACGGGAACCTCGTCCGCGATGAATTAATCAATTAACGTGTATACTCTTTGCTATGTTGAGCGCAATTTATATTCCGCCTGAATTATTATTATACCGTCGACCTAGATTAACAAGCATATTAACTTCAAGCAAACATACATAGTTTTACCAAAAGTCTTGCATATTGTATATACATAATTATATACAATGAAAAATCATCGTCTATGATCTTCGTACCGTGATGATTTTGTAAGGTATGCACCTGGTCAAAGCGTAAAGAATTTTTACTTCATTCCAGAGCTACTATTAATATTTCACCAAATTGGTATTGTACATGTGGCTGTAAGAATTCTTTATGAATAAAGATTGTTGTAGAAATCTGGAGGTGTCAGTTACTTTCAACCTAATTAATTACAAGTATAAAAAAGTATGTTCATAAAGAAATATATTAACTTTATTTGTAAAGAGTATTACAAAACATTAGATGTGTTCAAGCCATAGTTGAAATATAAACAATATAAAACCCAGTAAAAATTTTTTTTTAGTATTTGAGCACTACTCTTACGCTGCAATTAAATAAAATTTATATTAGGAAAATATACTTCGAACAACTTCTTAAACGAAAATTATTGACAACTCACCAGTCGCCTAAGCGCAATAACTCGAATCCCTCGTTAATCTTTTCAAAAGGAAGAGTATGTGTAATAAATTCATCGAGAAGTAACTTCTTTGCCATGTAATCTTGTACTAATTGAGGAACACTGTCTTTAGATTTCCATCCACCAAACGCAGTTCCTTTCCACACGCGTCCCGTTACCAGTTGGAATGGACGGGTGCTGATTTCTTGACCAGCTGCAGCTACACCCACTATAACGGATGTACCCCAACCTTTATGACAAGACTCCAATGCAGCTCTCTAAATATAAAAAATATTACTCTTTTATAAATAAAATCAGTAAAAAAATATCCAGTAATTTATTACAATTTTGTTTAAAAACTTACCATTGTATTCACATCACCAATACATTCAAAAGTAAAATCTAATCCACCATCAGTTAATTCTATCAGCACTTCCTGAATCGGTTTATCATGATCCTTAGGATTAACAAACTCAGTACATCCAAACGTTTTAGCTTGAAAAAATAAATTGATTTTATTATCTATCAACATTTTTCATGAAAAACTTCAATAAATTCTTTTATCTTACCTAGTTCGAATTTAGTTGAATTGATATCTATTCCAATAATACGATTGGCACCAGCTTGCTTACAACCAAATGCAACTGCCAATCCAACTGCACCCAATCCCCATATAGCACATGAACTTCCAGGCGTTACATTAGCAGTGTTCAGAGCAGCACCATATCCAGTAGATACTCCACATGCTAGCAAACATACTTTATCAAGTGGTGCAACAGGATCAATCTGAATTACATAATGTTTTTAGATAATGTTTGACAACAACAAGAAATATCTACAAAAATTAGAAGTACCTTAGCAAGAGAAATGTCTGCCACTACAGTATATTCAGAGAAAGTAGAACAACCCATGAAATGACTAATGAGTTGACCTCTGCAGGTAAATCTAGAAGTACCATCAGGCATTACACCTTTACCTTGCGTAGCACGAATTTTGCCACATAAATTTGTACTTGGATGTTTGCAGAATTTGCATTCTCTGCATTGGGGAATATATAATGGAATCACATGATCACCTGTAATTTATATATAAAATTTTTCAGTAATTAAATATGCAATAACACGGAATGTAATAGAATATAATACCAGGTTTAAATTCTGTAACTCCTTCTCCAATACTTTCAACAATACCACTGCCTTCATGACCAAGAATACAAGGAAAACTCCCTTCTGGGTCTAACCCACTCATAGTATAAGCATCAGTGTGGCACAAAGCCACAGCTACAACTTTTACTCTAACTTCATGAGCTTTTGGAGGTGCAACTTCGACTTCTTCCAGTGCGAGAGGCTGTTTGCTCCCCCATGCCACAGCAGCTCTACATTTGATTACCTAACAAGCAAAATTATTTTAATTCATCATTTGTTTGATTATATATTATGTATTCATAATTTCTATCTTTAACTTAAGCAAAAAAGATAATTATCAAAGTTACGTATAAAAAGCTACATTTTCTCAATGTAGTTTTTTTTAATTAATTGAAGATTGCTTCTATATAATCGGCTTATTGTAACAAATGAATTAGTTACAATTATACTACCTACTTTAATCACAACAATGAACCAAGTAATATATAATGAAAAAATCAATACCTTTCCAGTGGTACTCGACATTATTCTAAAATATAATTATTAACTAACGGCGGAAAGAAGAGCAAAAAATCGAACAATACCACGAAGGATATTAATCACACTGATAGCGATATCTTCAACGATAAAATGAATTTAAGGCCATGGTTTGCACAGTTTCTATGTAGCGACCGCTACCACCGCGCTATTTGAAACTTTTCCTGCAAGCCTAACCTCGCCTCATTATGCAAACAAATCACACAAATATCTACAAACTAATAATATCAATCTTCAAGCGAGTTAAAGGGCACTCCAAGCCCAAGGTACTGCAGACAAGACATCCTGACTAATTTAAAAAAAAAAAAAAGAAGGATATTGATAGACTAAAAGAATTACGTATATTTTGCGAACCTACGGCAGAATCCTGCCTTACCAACTCAGGTTCCTACATCTATTTTAATACTACTGGCAGTAGTTTACTCTAAAATCTTATAAAGATCTGTATTTATACATTGACTAATAGGAATTTATAAAATTTGAATGCACGATTTCTAAATGTATTGAATGTAATAATTTTTTAATACAACTCAAATAAATCTCTTATTCAATATATTAATGTCAATAATTAACATTTGATTTCTGTAATTTTTAAATACAAAAACAAAATTAGATGAAGTATTTGGCATATTTTGGAAATAGTATTTAACAAAATTTGTATTTACATAATTTATTGATCACAGTGTTTCAATAAAAAAGTTTATAACAATTTTTATTGGAACAAAATTTTAATCTGACACTTTGATTTCACGCATTATCACGTTATTACATCAGAAGCTTTATGTAATTTGACCTAACATGACATTTATCAAAGATAAAACTTATTTTGTACAGAAAAATGTTTATTCTATCGAGTTGTTTTCCGCAAATTTATACATCTATTTCTTAACATGTTTATTTTTCATATTGCATTGTACAAAATATCAAATTATATAAAGTCATTTCTCAGTGAGACTAGAATGACAAGAATTATTTATTCTGAGTTGAGTTATTTGTTTCAAATTGAGTCATTTGTTCAAAACTATGTTAGTATAAGAGATCACTTTGTTACAAACATGTTTGTATAAAATTTGTCAATTCTATAATGTTCAATTTTAGCTATTTGTCTAAGTGTATAATCACTGATATTTATCTATGAACTTTTTTACCTAATCTTAACATAGGTAGTGTTTTTACAAGAGTAATAAAATGTGCAACTGTATAACCAAGAAGAGCACCTAAAACACATGGAATTGGCCAAGCTTGCCATGGTCGATCCCAGTCTAATGGAATCACAATAGCACCTAACCATGTACCTAAGAGAGTAGCTTGAATATTTGTCTTCAAAGCATCAATTAAAACATTGCCTTTCTGTAATTGTCCTCCTGTTATTATTTCTATTGCACCATCCACTCCTAAATGGAAACTTGCAGGAATAAACGTGAGTGTAATCAAAGTGGCAGTAAGCATAGTAGTTTCTTCATGGCGCATAAATACTGGTGCACCAAACAGTATAATTACAATGTAATATATGACGGACAAAAGAAAACCAGCTAAAAGAAATTTGATAATTTCCTTCATATACTTAGACCAAGTCCTTTTATATCTTGAAGATGTTCTTAATTCAGTTTTTGTTATAAGTGTTGATTCAGAGTGAAACATAGGAAACATCAATTTAATTACTTCCGCAAAAAGCAGAATTAATAGTACTGGAATAAATTTATATTTTCCCACATTATATAAGTTATCATTTAGCTTAAGTAGAATCAAAATGCCAGGAAAATAAATGCAAGTAAATGAACAATATGACAATAACAACCTCTGACTCAATTTGTTTCCAACGATCATCTTTCTTATCTTCCTAACCTGTAATGGAAAATTGAAATGTATTCGTAAAAATACGAAAAAAATATAAGTACATTTAATAATTGCTTACTTGGTGCAATATAAAATAAATCCTTCCTAATTTAATACTTGATATAATACTAGTTTTGTATAATATATCGTCATGTTTTGTCACACTTTTCTTGCCTAGGCCTAATGAGATTTTTATACATGTTATTCTTCAACAAAATAATACTGTCAAGATATATAAATAAATAAAAACTACGCACAATTTCAACTTTTAACTGAATGAGAATATCTACATTGAAATAAAAAAGAATATGTTCAAATATCATACGAACATTAATACTACAAACGCAATAAAACATTTGAACTCGTTGACATAAAATAGCAATCAAGTAAATCACCATAAATGATTCTTTCTATAAAAAAAATTAGTTTTTCATCTTCTATAATTATAATCATTTCTCTCGTAATTCCCAAAACAAAACAACATTGTAAAATTTGATATATTATTATTTTTATATTTTGTATAAAATTAAATATGTTCTTACCGAACTCAACTGTAATAACTCAATAATCACAAGATTCGAAACAATAACTTGCATCAACACGTGTTGTACAGAGATAAGAAATTCCTCGAAAAAAATGTGGGTCTGATTGGTTATTTCCAATCCATTCTTAAATTTAAGAATATCTATTGGTTGAGAATGTCACGCAGATCAAACAAAAGCTAGTGGATCGGTTACTGAAAGAAGGAACTGTTTCCTTTGCTCTTGCAGGACTTTTCATTTTTGTACATAGATACAGCTATAAATAACTGAAAATATACAATTTGCAATTCGTGGATGGTACTAAGGGTGAAATTTCTGTAGCGGATGATTTTATGTATAATGTGAGGTTATAAAGGATATAGAAGGTGGAGTGTATTCGTCTTCGAGTTACCGCCAGATTCATCAATAGGGTTGATGTCGGCGACCCCTAACCTCAGACGCTTGATTTATTAGGAACCTCTAGCTTGCGCCAAGAAACGGCACCCATTCTAGAGGTGCAATCTTAACCTAGACATCGCACTTGATCCGTAGCTAAGCGGCATCCACTTACGATTTGTAATATTCGTGCCTTTGGTATACTAAGGCTGGACGTGCTAGCCGCTAGAGGCATTAAAATACTAGCATCGCACAGCGGTAAAACGGTGGAACTAATTTTTGTCCTTGTCACACGCTATTACTCTCCTTGTCTACCGCGCAAATATATATCTCTTTGTCACACACTATCGCTCTCCTTGTCTATCGTGTCTATATGTCTGTCCTTGTTGCACGCTAGTGCTCTCTTTGTCTAATGACGCTAGACAAGGAAAGCAATAGTGTGCGACAAGGACATCTTTCGATCTATTGAAAAAAAAATTCAATTTTTTAGACACACGTTTTTCTAGGACAAAACACACATAGAAAGAAAGCAGGGAGCCTAATTCTAAGGAGGCATATAAAAAAGTTCGAAAATTATTCCCCTTAATTAGGTTTTTTTCGTAATTAGTGCGAACTGTCACAAAATGGACATGGTGGTGCCATCTAGCGGTAACTCAGTGGTACTAATTATTTATAAAAATACTTATTTCTACATTTTACGGGTCAAATGGGGTATGAAAAGAAAGCTAAGAGTCTAATTAGGGTAATACAATCACAAAAGTTCACAATTCATTTCGCTAAATTAGGTTTTTTCGCAAAATTTCTGTTTTACGGGGTAAGAAACACTAGCGCCGCGTTGTGACAGACCGGTGGAACTAAACGCTCTATAACCATATAAGGAAAATCATTAATTTTACTTTTTCACGCTACTAATTTGCACTCCACGAGCACATATTTCAAAGATAATGCTATCAGTTACGTTCGCAAATAAATCTAAATCTAATATTCAGTATAGTTTGCACGAAATTATGCACTCACTACTGGCACTATGCTAACGTAAACGAAATTGAAACATTCTTTATATACGTAAACTATATTTAAACGAAACATAAAACGCAAGCTTAGAGTCTCTAAAATCGGAGACGCAACCATAACAGTTCACAAATGGTTCCTCTTAATTAATTTCTTCTCGTAATTTGTGGAAAAACTGTCACCTGTCAATGTTAGAGGCAATAGCGGCGCCATCTTTTCTGTTACATATAACTTTGTTTTTAATATTCATTTTTAATTTATCCATTTATGATATTTTACAGATTGTTGGACAGAATGGAGGTTAGACCGTACTGTGTGTTGGATGTACATAAACAGTTTGAAGTATTTACCAGTGTTGGTAAGACAATGATGGAACACTGCTGATAGTAAAGTCAGTGTAAAGATCACAACTCATTACGTTAGCTCTATCCTTTGTCAAGCATAAATTTCTTAAGAATAAATTATACGACGCTGAAAATATACAAGTACATCCAGCATTCCATGAAGTGATAGTCTTGTATCAAATAGATGATACAAAATCAGAACTTATATTGTCACCTAATCATCCATTAGAATCAGCTACTGTTAAATATGAACAATACGCAGGTAGAGCAAATTTGAGGAATTGTCACATCCAGTGATCTATATTTCTGGTACACCAGGTAATAATTTATTAATTTAAACTATAATTATCAATTAAATTATATTTATATTTGGATTAAATAATTAAGGAAATATTTTATTCCCTTTTCATAGAATAAATCAATACATAATAGCCTTGTATCATGGAAAAGAAATTTGGATAAAAAATTCACTGGTGTGGAAGAATGTTGTACATATTATAGTATTTTTCAAACAAATACATATCAAATACCAAAATTATCCTGTCATACGTGCCGCAAGAAATTTCATGTTTGGTAAGTTTATTATATTCTCTGTAATATTTAGTGAAATTTTGTACAATTAATACCTCTTCTGAAATTAATATTCATTTTTCTTTTTCAGCGTGGTTTAATACAAATCAAAATTTCACGTGTCCCATGTGTAGAAATACATTTTACTATGTTATACTATTTATATTAAGAATTTCTACTTTTATTTAATTTGATAAATATTTGATAAAATAATTTGACTAAATAGAAATTCCTAATATAATTAATATAACATAGTAAAATTTGTTTGTGCATATATTAAACTTACGGACATTTTTTGTATATAGAAAAATTTATCTGTACATAATAAAATTTGTTTGTACAAACATTAGATTTATGGTTTCTTGTATATAATTGTAAATTTATCTGTACATAATAAAATTTATTAGAAATTTATCTCTAGAATTACGGGCATTTTTTGTATATCTATTTTTACGTCGAACTGATGTTCGTAGAAATAGATACAAAACTTCAAAATTTTCGTATTATTTTATTAATAAAAGTCAGTAAAAATTGCCAAGAAAAGACCGTAAAAATTTTTTTTAAATTTTGCTCATTGTGTTAACGAAAGAGTGTTTTATAAATTTTTATAAAAATTAGTTTTGTATAAATTTTCCGTCCATTTGTATAACTTTTTGTAAATTATATACAGAAGGAACAATAAATTTAAATTTATAACAAATTACTTAGATTATGTTTTTTAATACCTTTTATTAGTTAATTAAGAATTATCTTTAGAAGTATGTAATATTAAATTTTTTAATTTTTAATTAGATTTTTAACATGAATAATCACTTAGTCGATAAACAAACTCCTTGATAAGAAAATATTCCAAGTCATTAATCATTTCCGGTCATATTCCGGGGAGCATATTCTGGGAAGAGCCGCCTCATCCGGTTTAACATTTTGCAGACAGTAAAGCACATATTCAAAGTTATATTGATCAAAAATTATATTATTCAAATACTTTAGGCTTGGCATTTTCTTAAATATCAGTTATAGTCAGCAAAATAGCGACTAGTCAAATCGAAACAAATAAGCAAAACATCTCAGAGCAGACAGCGGATCGTAAAGTATTAAAGAACAGAAAAAGTACGATATATGATAAGATTACAATTGCTTTTAATCAGCTGCAGTCAGAAGATAAGTTTCACTCTTTTTTGGCGAGTCAACCGATCAAGATGCCAGGTAAGTTGTACTATAATTTTATACCAGTCAATTTATTACATTAAATTTATATTCAAGTCAATCCATATTTTTAATAGACCATCGCTGTATCTCTATATATTTCCAATAGCATCTTTTTTGTTCAGGAAATTTAAACATTCTCTATTTGCAATCTCTATCTTTGGAAATATGTAACATTAAATTTTTCAATTTTTTTTCAATTGTACATTCATCCTAATAAATTGAAAGATTTACAAATTTTAATTCTTTTACTTTGCTCTCAGCAAGCAATAAAAATATTCGCTCAGAAGTTGTAAGCATTAAATGAAATAATTCTGGAAAGTTTTTTCTCGTACACATATGGGCGCCAGACACTTTTTATTTGTTATTCTCTTATCAGCCGAGAAATTGAATTCCAGAAAAGTCTTATCGAGGAATGGACGATTATCTGTAACGTTGTATATGATCCATGTTATGCCTACGCCTGTTTCACATAAGTCTTTTTTTTCTATTTTTCTGAATACGCTATATTTAAGTACTTGCAAAAATAATAATTCTCTGGCCATCACAGGCAAATATATTTTCAATCAGTGTAGTAGACATAAATTTAATAAGAAAAAAATCACGTACGACTCAAAAAAATTGCTTTGATCAAAGCTTACAGGTGGCTTAGCCGAAGCGCAGGGCAAAGCATGCCGCCCACTGCGGTTGTCGGAGGTCGTGATATAGATGGATCAACTATCTATGTCGGCAGAGCTTACCACGAGGGTGACATGCTTCCGGCAAAAGTAATCCCCGACAAAAGCGTTGCCTACGTCTGTCACAATGGTGAAGAACACCCCAAACATGACTTTGAAGTAAGTAAAACACAAAAAACTAGTGCAGTCCTTTCGTCAAAATCGTTCATTCTTTTAGAAATGATCGAGTAAAAAGCAAAAATCATTCGGTTTTTTTTTTTTTTTAATAAATAAATGTTCATTAATAACGATAATCGTTCAAAAGAACGAAAATCAAATCAATTCAGCGTCGATTATTAAAATAAATCTTAATGATTATCTTTAAAAGGAAGGAAATCTTCGAATTTTTAAATATTATAAAGTAAATTTTTGCTAAGTATAACATTCAACTGTGAGAAATTAATTTTTCACCTCGAACGATAGAGATTTTCAAGGATAAGAAAATACGACTGATTGAAAAAGAAATTACCACGTCACACCTAGTTTTACCTTCTTGCTACCCATAATCTAATCTTTTTCATCGGCGAGAAGTCCATTATCTTTATCTGTTTTTAACTTTTTATTCCAAGAACTAACGGATTAAGATGGATTACGTTCAAAAGCTATTCGGCTGAGTGGTTTCAGTAAATAATAAATTTTCCCACTAACGAGCCTAATCATCGGTGTAACCACGATCAACCTCTGTACACGCGCAAACATGGAATCGTGATTTTGTGTCAAGGCGAAGCCGTTTCGCTGCACGAAATTGAAATACGATTTGCATCAACCTTTAGCCAATTTCGAATCACACGATCGCCTTGGATTTTGAAAACGTAGAACTGATGACTCTTTACTTGCATTTGTTATCTGATTTTTTCTTTCGTTCAAATATACGTTTTGACTTATCAGTTCACGTTAATAATGAGACAAAACTGGTGAATCATACCAAATCTCCCATATTTGCTATTTTGAATAATCGACTAATTTACGAAGCTTCTTATTATTCTATGGAAAAATATAAAACATCATGTCAAAGTAGGTAGATGATCAAGCCTCGCAGAAATTAACAATGAAGTTAATCATTCGATTTCTAAGAAATTGAATTTTAATTAGAACGAAGAGTGTAAAGCATAAGGCCTCTACTTTGGCAGGACTAATTGTAAGTTCGTTCTCTTCGAAGATGCTTTTACATCATGCAGCGGGTGGGAAAGTCAGGATACTTTTGTTCTGAAAAATAGCTATTGCAACTGAGCGACTTCTAGAATTTTTAGTTCAACCCAACGCAATTCCAATGCAATATTTAAAATTAATACGTGTTTAACGACTCGGAAGTTACTCGTATAAAATTATGGAACAATGGAATGCTAAGTTCTCGTTAATTTTTATATTTCGTAGGTTTTGGCCCAAGGAGAGTTCGCATGGGAGTTTTGCAGCAACGGATCAGTCCCAAGCGATGCGGTGATGGCAGGACAGACATCCGATGGAGAACCTCTGTATGTCGGCCGTGTTCTCCATAATGGAGCCCAAACAATTGGCAAGGTCGGAGTTTACTGTTTCTTTTGCCGTACAGGAAATTTATTTACACTGATTTCAATTTCGATATAGACACATGTCACGTAAAATTGACGCACGTGTGTGTGTCTCATGACAAAAGAAAATCTCTTGAAGTTTGGAAGAAGATCTTCGAAATAAGATCATCAATGAAAATATTTTTTTCTTATAGGTTCAGCCCAGCCACGGATGCTTATACATCCCCTTCGACGGTGAAGAACTGTCCTTCAAAGACTACGAAGTGCTCGTAATTCATTAAGTATTACAAAACCAAGATTACCTGAACGACTATCACGTTTCATTTATAACAATATATTTCAACCAAAATTGTATGCACTCATCAAAATAAGTGAGAAAAATAAATAAATTATAGCTCATTCTCTTTTTATAAACTGTTTTGCTAGCCAAATATGATATTTGATAATCAAATATGACATTTGATAATCAATCGGATAAAAATGGCTGTATTAATGTTAATTAAAATTATTCATCCTGGCTCATCAACTTTTTCAAAGAACGAATTTAACAAAATCAGAAAATTTTGGCGCTAAAATTAATTATTCGCGAAACGACTTTGTATACTCAGGTGTGAAGGTGTCAATTTTGATATATTTATACTTGAGGAATCGCGCTCTCTCTGCACAAAATTTTACAAGAAAAGCTGATCTCTGGTTAATATCCCAAGTTTCAAAGTTTAATAAAGAATCGTGTTTTGCGTAAAATTACACAGAATTTTACAAGGAAAATTAATCAACAATATAATTCCTGCGAATTAACGTCACGATTGTCTCACAGACGTTGACATAAATTCATAAAGAAAAAAAAAAATCATCGCGTCAAGTATCATACGTAAAATTTGTGTTAACTAAATTAGTAACGCGTGGGATGGAAATCGGGATCGGGATGACCGGATTTCGACCGGATTTCGTCGCTTGATCATCGAGCCAGTCTGTTCCGAGTTGAAGCACGCGTTGCCAGCGGATGTGCCGGGGAAACACGAAAACAACGGGTCTGTTATACGGCTCTGGATCGAATATTTTATAGCATTGCTCGAATTACGAGCATTACTCACTTGACGACGTCATGACGATCAACTTAAAAGCCAGGGCCGTAACTTACACCTCTAATCCTGCAACGAGTCATTTTCACTAGTTTCAAGATCCCTATGAAACATCCCTTACATTCTCATATTTAAACTCTTTAGACCTGAAACTTTTTCATTTCTTTTTCTTGCATTAGAAACTGTCGAACATATTCGACAGTTTGTTCGAATAAGACGCGCGTGTCTCTGAAGTGTTAAACGTTCTTTGTATAAGTGAACGTATATCTTTAAAAAAAAGTCCATTCGAATTTTCAATTTAGAAAATAATAAATCCTCCGTTAGACGTATGAACTCTAGGAAGATATACTTTAGAAGAAAAATTTACTTCTGAATCTCTTCGTTGGTCAATAAACGACGATGTCCAAATTTCGACGAAAGCTGCGAAAGGTCTAGAAAAATCTTAAGGCCAGCGGGCAACGCGGGAACGAAAGAATGTAATTGCCAATTCGTCGCAATTGGTCGCCCAGCAAAACGTGATTACGGGACCAGAAAGGTCCGGCGTGCAAATCGTCATATACATCGTTGAATATACATATATGCTTAACACGATCTTTGAGTTATCGTTGTATGTGGCCTCCGAAGGGTGGGCACACGGCCCTGCTTGAAATAGGCTCTAGCCATAGAAGACAAGACGGTCAGTTATGATTATTTTATCAACAAATTGCTACATTTAAACGGCACCTCGGTGCTGGCCTACCGAGAGAAGTCGCTTTCAACCATGTTCTCGCTGTGTTTACGCGTATCTTCGACCACGTAGCAGAATAGCAGAACGTCCGCTGTTTCTAAGATAAAATTCGATCAATTCCTCTGGATTTTGGTAAAAATGTACAGTACGGAGGAATCTTTCATTGGCACGTTCATTATTGATGAAATTAATTCTTCCAGAAGTAAATCTATGGTTTTCTTTTATTTGTTATTAGTAAGAAAAGCAGCTATTTCTGAGAATGATTTTGTAAAGAAGACACGACACGCCGAGATACGTTTGTCATTCGGTTAATTAATAACTTGTCAAATATTATGTCGTTATTGATATCTATCAGGAATATTTTGACAAGGCAGGACGAGAATTTTGCGATACGAGATTTATTGCAATATAACGATATTAACGCGTCGATAAATATAATCTTAATGAAACTGAGAAAACACACTGTGATCTTCAACGAGACAAACGAGAGTTTCGTGCTTGACCCACATTCGTTTGGCTCTAAAGTGAAACGTGCGAAACATACGGGAATAAACGAGAAATCGATGAAATAACAAATAATAATATAACAATGAATGAAATAAAAATAAATGTAACAATAAATAATAATAAGAAGAAAAAGAAGAGAGAGATATTTCATGTAAAGTTGAACAATCCGCAAAGTTACAAAACTCCTCCACAAAGTCACAGTCTTCTAAATTAAAAAAGAATATATGTACATCCTGTAAATGTAACGAAAATTAATTAATATTCCTCCATAAGCTCGATGGTTGGCGATGGTGAAATCGAAAGGAACCGTCGTGCATCGACTCTGAGAGCTAACCTTGACCCGAAAAGCGTCCAAGAGCGGAACCGGAAGCGTGGACGTTAAGCGCGTGGTTGTCGATCGTCGCAGAAACGATTCGCACCGGCGACGTTTCGTCGTGTCACCAGCTGCATATGTTATATATTCAGCTAGGTGGATGTACCCTCGGATGTACTCTCCCCGTACGTGGAGAGGATCGTCGAAGAGTTTCAGAGGGGACAATATGGAGGGAACATGGTGGAGATGGTGGAGGAACAGCAGCATGGAGCAGGAGGTGGCCGAGAGGAAGAAGAAGGGAAAAGAGGTAACACGCGTATCGTAATGCACAATGGTGCATTAGCCAGGAGTAGACGGTCAGACGGTCTCTCCCGCGGACCGGTTGGAAATTCAACCGACCGGTACTCTATCAACGAACAAATACAACATCAAGTCGAGCCTAACATCCGAAATCGGTCCACGTTTACGAGGGAGTTAGCCGAAAGGAAGACCGAGTGGAAGAGACGAGAAAGAATTGTTCAAATGATCTAAACAATCGGCGAAAGAATCGATTCATATCGAAATCCTTGAAGTGCAAATTGGATATTTAGTACCCAAGTATTTAGTGGCCGTCTCTTCGCACCCGCATCCGCATGATTCTAATCGTCGTCGAGAATTCTTGGAAGTTTGGCTCAACACCAAAGGATCTACGTTGGGAAAAAGTTATCCGACATCTGGATACGAAGAACTTAATTACACGTCAATCAGGTTCTCCGCAAAGAGCCTAAACACGGTACAAAGATTGTTTGAACACGTTCAAAGATTATTCGAACAGCCTGTCCTTGTTCAAGGGAATGGCCGACGCGAATAATCCATCGACGATGGAGAAGAAACGCGGAGATACTGCTGGGAATCAGGTAGTGTCCGACAAAGCAGTGGTTTGGAAGTCCATGACATTGCGCCAGAAATGGTCCTACTTCACCAGCAACATCACCGTGGAGCCTATGATCGCCTGCTACGTGATTCCCTGTATGCTAGCCTCCCTAGCCACGCAGAATCTCAGTTTGGAAAAAGCGTGTAGAGTGAACCTGGCTTATTCCGACGAGGTCTGCACGGCATTAGCCGAGAGGAATACGACCGGCTACGAGGCGGAAGAAACTGCCGTTCAACAACTGGTGGCTGGCATGCAGACGTGGAAAACAGCTCTGACCAGCGGTCTACCAACGATCTTGATCCTCTTTATGGGTGCCTGGAGCGATCGTACAGGATTGAGGAAACCGTGTATGCTGTTGCCTATCGTTGGTGAATTTCTCAGCAGCGTCAGCATGCTACTGTGCACCTACTTCTTTCACGAAGTTCCCATGGAAGCCACGGGCGTGTTCGAGGCACTTTGGCCAGCATTAACCGGAGGCTGGTTCACCATGTTCATGGGTGTTTTCAGTTATATCGCGGACATCACGACGGTGGAGTCCAGGACGCTTCGAATCGGTGCTGCGAATGTTTTCTTGTCGCTCGGCGTGCCGATCGGTATGGCGCTCTCCGGTATATTGTACTTGAAGCTCGGATTTTACGGTGTATTCAGCATCTCGACCGTGTGCTACGTGTTGAGCTTTATTTACGGGTTAGTGGTGATCAAGGAACCGCCTAGACCGCATTTGAAGCAGAAGCCGGAAAAGACGGAGGAGAAGAAGATGTCCGTGTGCGCGTCGATCTTGGACTTCTTTGCATTTAAACACATCGAAGAGACTTTTCGCGTTGCCTTCAAACAGGGTAGGAACAACCGTCAGAAAAGGGTGCTGGTGCTTATGGTCATTGTTATGGTCGTGATTGGTCCACTTTATGGTAAGCTTATTTTGTTTACTCTCGGTTAGAAAAACCCAATTTCACAAGCAGTATACGAAGAATTCTCTTTGCTTCGTACGGGAACAAAATCAGAATTGCAGAGTGTAAAATTACTCGTCAATTTCTTAACTTCGATGAACATTAGTTGTTTATTTATCGTCCAACGACGAAGGATGAAATTTCTTTTGAAGATCCGAAAGAATTTCTAGGCTCGATCCGGTGCTGCGAGTGTGCTTCGCAAGAATTTGATCAGGTCAATCCAGAACGACGCGGCGGAGTGCAAACTAGTTTAACTAGTTTCGTAAATTTCAGTCTCAAATTTCAATCTTGGTATCCTGACACGCCGATAATTACACTTTCCTTTTTCTCTTTTCCTTCCGACTTGTGGCATTCGATTTCTCTATCATGTAACTCATGTACCTTTACACCACAGTGCTCAGAACTGGATCGTTTAATCACATACATTCGATATGCCATACGAGGAAAATAAAAATTGCCATTGCTACATTTTCAAAAGAATTTCTTTATAAAAAAAATTCATTCGAGAAGGTTAACTAATCTAAAGTACAATTTAACGAGGGTGAAGATTTAATGAACTTCGATGATAAAAATGCGAAATTGCAAAGAAGAACATAAATTCACCGAAAATTCTATCTAAAATCAAGTTTATGAAGATTCACGATCTACTATATTTATTTACTACTAGTTACAACTTTCAACAGATTTTCATACACAAATCAATCTAATAAATACTAATATTGATCGGATATGAGACATTTTCATTCGTTTGTCTCATCGAATAAACACTTTGCCAAACGTCTGTCCTCAACTTTCACGATGCCCATATCGAAGAAGTTTCACGCGTCTACTTTGAGATTCAGAAATCTCGCGTCTATCCCGCTCTGCATCGACAGGCGAATGAAAGTGGGAAAGTTTCGCGACTTAATCTCGCTATTTTTGTTGCGATAACCGATAGAGTAGTTTTTAAAGGTAATTGCAACATTTCGGCCATTGGAGGCCGAGGGAAAACCAGTAGATAGCGTGTAAAACCGGCATTTTTATTTTTTTTTTTTTTGAGATAGAACGGAATGGAGATCGGTGTAATGAGTTGTAATTATCGATCAGCGAGTAAATGCATGTTATCTGTGCCGGTGTGTTTCCACGCGATGAACGGAGATACGCACGTAACATGGAAATTGCAATAGCTCGCGCAGCAGCATTAGTGAAAGTGTGATTAGTGATTTTGTTCTTTGACGATATTGGCGATATTGTAACGTCGTAATCGCCTGTGCCTCTATTTTTGTAGGATTTTCATTCGACTTTTACTTTCCGACGAAGAAGTTCCACTGCGAATTTTTTTCGTAATTTTCCCGCAATAATGATCGTCATTCGTGTATGCACGTGAATCTTCTGTACGTATTAACAGTGAATATTTGTGCAACTTTACGTTTTTGTAATAGTATACGAGTTTACTTTATTTTGGATGTGAATTTTGTAGAAAATTGATGAAAATCTTTCAGTATTAAATTTCTTTCTTTCTATCGTCCATGTATTACCGAATTTATTTTTCTACGAGAAAATACCTCGAGTGAATTTCTCAACATACTCGAGCTTTGTTTATGCAAAGGAATAACTCTTCATCGTCAAATTGTATTTCACGTTAGTCAAGCCTCAAACGTACTTGCTTTTTGAATATACATACTTACTTCTGATAAAGAGATTCTTCTTTCAACTTTTTCCTGTAACGAATCTCTTATATCGAATGAATTCTAACTGCGCAAGTTGGCAAAAACTCTCTCGTTAATGCAATTAAAATGTAACTTAGTTCAAGCAATATTAAATTCGCCGCTATTATCCGTTTCGCCAATTAGAATTTTTTTGATCGGGACAATGAGCGAACTTAGTGTCCCCATTTTCTCCGAATGGTTACGATGCTAATCTCGAACGACAATACGGTTCCATCCGTCAATTACGGATTATTAGCGCATCACGAATTCGTATTGCAACAGGGAATTCAAGGCGAGCGTCCTTGTCATAATTTAATTATGACCGCTAATGCGCCGGACATTATAATGTTTCGTTGCGTCTTTATTCGTCTTGGCAAGATTGCACTGGGTAATCATGCTGCTTATAACAATTTCACGTAATGGCCTTCTTCCTGATCTTGAAAGGCCAACAATTAGACGTGCATATTCTTATGGTTTTTCTGTTGTTTTTTCCCCCGGCAACGTCGTCTCCAGTCAAGAGAAAGACCGAAGAACTTCTGCCTTTAACGTGGCAAAGAGAATCGAAAAGAAACGGAAATGGAATTCCGTGTTGTCCGAAAGAATTCAAACGAATTTGAAAAACCTAAATTTCGAGAGGAAATCTAAATTTTGAAACATAATAAATGATCAGGCTCGCCAAGTTTAGAAATATTTATTCATAATTCGATGATCCATGGATTTTTACTTTGGAAATTTATATTTTTTCTGAAAACAGACGAGTCGAGATTGTTTGATTTAGAAATGTTTTTTGTGTAAATGTATGCAAAAGTAAGTATGCAGAAATATGAGATTAAAAGATTACTAATTGTAAGGCAATTGATACGAAGGCATATTGATAACAATTACTGGAGACATTGTATAATTGGATCGTGCAATTGGCGTACACTAATTAAGTCAATCGTCAACCGTTAATTCGATCGAGTTCAAGTGCGTTTCTTTTTGACATTGGTTCGACACGTGGACACCGTCGTTAGTCAAAGAAAGCCATAGTCAGACCTCCTTTACCGATATTAATTAGAATTAACTGCCAACAAAGACGACTAACGAAGGACGAAGGAATGGGAACGATAACCGATACCTAGGTTATAGTTTCACAATGATAATCGACAGCGTATTTCGATTACCGTAACACGAATCCAAGACTTTTTTTTTTCAAACAAATCCTTGTTGAAGTTGGACAAAGTTCTAATATATTTCTTTGCAAGTAAATATATTTCGTCGTGTTGTAAAAATTCTGGCTTCAAATTAATTAGATATTTAAACTTCTCATCAATTGAAATGACAAAATATTAAACAACGGAGGAGGAGAATTCGTTCGATAAAATCAAATATTTATTTGACTTGCGAGAATTTCTATGAAATAAAGGTACGTGCTTGCAAAGAAAAAAAAAAAAAAAAAGGAAAGGTACGGGACGTCGGTATAGAAAGTGAGACGATAATAGACTGTGACCTGAAATTTATGACCACCGGTGGTGCCTGTGAAGTCAACATACCTATTAGAACTGGATTCTATGCGTACGTATGTTAATGCGGTCTGATGGCCTAAGTAGCTTGATATAATTTCAGATCTTTGACCGTCGGAAATCGGTCTAATCTTGATGGTCTGAAGGGTTATGGCAACTTCTACGATATATAACGAGATGAATCGGTGTCATGTGTCAAAGTTAATATTATATCGCAAAGAGATGAAGAAAATTGCAACACGCGTCGAAGTTTATTATTACTGTAACAACAAGGCTTTTGTGTAAAGTGTATCTTATTCCATTACTTTTTGTTGCTGATAATATTTCTTCTAATATTCGTTATACTACTTTCGAAATTTTCTTTCCTATGTACATTATTTTCTTTTTATCGTTGCAATCTCCTTTTTATTATCAAAGTGGTACTTTTTCCTACGATTTTATGATTTCCACTGTTCTTTGAAATATTTTCAGCAGGCATAGTATTTTTATTCCATTGCTTCTTATAGAATTCTTATTTTATTTTGCAATTTTTGTTTGAAATTTTCTCTTTTATACTCTTTTTTTTTTACATCACTTTCTGTCGATACAATTTCCTTTGACATCCTTATTTATTATCTAGTGAGATCTACTGATCGTAATCCATTGGCACTGGCAAACTATGGGAATGAAATTCCAGCATGAAATGATCTTACTTCCAATCTCTATTATTCCTAACTAGGAAGTTCAAACTTCTATGAGCATTTTATTTTTAAAATTCAGTGATATAATCTCTATCTATCGTAGCATCGTACACCGAAATCAATATTTTACGTTAGATCGAACGATCGAAGAGACAAGATTTTCGCATTGGAAACGGCATTCCGTTTAATTTCTCTGCCATTCAAGTTTTCAATTTCGTCATTATGTCCAGCAGACAAGAATACAAGAAGGCACAACCTAATTGAGCGGTAAGGAATGAATTAAGTACTGGAATTAGAATCAATCATTCCTTGAAAACAATCTGCAATTATTCATTTTTAGAACACTGTTCATACATAATTATTTTAACATTCACGCGTCGAGATTTATTTGCTTTTTTTTTTTTGCCATTTGCGAGTAATTTCCAGACAATTATCAATGTTCTTTACAATCTTCGAACATAATTTTCTCGAATGAAATAAAATTACATCGATGTAAAATATGCTGCTGCATCTTCATGCACAATTTACGAGTTTCGTGGAAAGAAACGTGATCAATTTTATATATCACTTCCTTTTCGTCGACTTCCTTCAAAACGAATTAATGTTGCAATTTTTTAGAACTTGCAGAATTCTTCTTCGTTTTCTATAGTTACACGTAATCGCCAACTTCTATTTAATAAATATATATTTTATTTTTATTTGGGAACAATTATAATTTAATAAGAACGACGATTCATGAAAATTGAATTGTTTAATTATGATAAATATCAAAAGGAAAAATTATTGACGTGAATTTTGTATTGAGCACAATGGTAGATGCAAGAATTAATTTTTAGGACCATCGTCAGGTAAAATTACAAAATTAAAATCATAGATTTTGTTGTTATGCAGAAAATATTCATTTCTGGCATTAAATTTGTAACTTCGTTCCATCAAATTTTTCAAAAACCAAAGCAAGGCATAACGATTTCCCTTTTTTTTCTTCTTCACGTTCTATTTTTCGAAACGCGAAGAATCGTGTTTGACAAAGATTCATCATGTCAGCGTGACGAGTTAAAAATCGCTTGAGAGTCCATCATTGCCTTCCGTATGATTAAAATACAATCTAATGTCGAAGCTGAAATAACACCGTGTGAAAAATAAATTTTCAGAAAAGCTAGCATTCATCCAAGTAGCACAATGCTCGAAAGGTGAATCGACCGATGAAGATAAAACTCGAGGTATTGTCTCTAATATTCTGGAGGACTGTTCGTGAGAAAAGCAACGATGTGATAATAGCCTAAACTCGACGGAAACGATTAACTCGAGAGCCTGACGAACGAACTTGTTGTGTAACACTATGTATATCCTTATGTAATGCAGCTTAATAACGCGTCGAAATCACTTGGGAGAGTTCCTAACTATATACAACAGATGTAGTTTCCAGTAACCTGAAGATTAAATCGATTGGGCTATTCCTGCAAATGTTCGACGAGTGTTGAAATGGCAAACGTTGTAAATTCCAGAATTGAAGATTCTCAGTAAAGGGGGTCAGAACGAAAGTTGAAGTAAATTCTTGCAGCGAGCAACGTTAAAATGAATTTAATATCTACCGTGGAATGATGTAAATTGAAAAAAATGAAAATTTTCTCTGTAGAAAGAAGAAGAAGTCGGACTAGCAAAGAGCTAAACTACAGAACTGAAATAAATTACCATGCCAACTAAAAATTAAGATAAATTTAGTATTTAGCTATTTAAAATGGGCAATCTTTTCCTCTCCTTTCAGTTGATAGTAATTTGCATGCACGAAAGGAAAAATAAGTAGATAGGAAAAAGTAAATTTCATAACCAAATGAAAAGGATAAAAAGTCAGCATTTTTAAATACCTAATTGTCGGCAATTAGGCAGGCAATATCTAATTGTCGAGATGTCGAATATACGTGATTTTAATAAAAAAAAAAAATTTGCAAAAGTTATTTGTTGGTATTATCATTAATAGAAAATCAATTACTGAAATAATTAGAAAATTATAACTCAGGAGTAATGTATAAATAAAGTCAGATTAATTTTTCACAGCGATATCTAGAAGAGTTGAAAGAAACGATACAACAAACAAACAAACAAACAAACCTTGTTACACAGTTATGCAATATTAAAACGTCATGAAGTATCACCTTTAGAATATAAAATCCGACCAAAAACTCACTGGATACGTATTATAATATTGTATCAAGGAAGTCAATGATACTTGATCCTTGCACAAACCAATTCTCGAGATTAATATGTAATTTATTCGTGCGGAAAAATGTGACTGACAAAACGGGCGAACTTTTTGCTTTTCAACGCTTTGACCAGTCTTCCGCGTGTCACATTCAACTTCGAGGCCCATTACGCGCAGTGGTACGATGAAGCAACATTGCAGAGATAGCGGTGAACCAAGCGAGCTACCAATTCTGAAAAACGTTTTGACCATGATCTTTCATGCTGTGCAAGCGGAATCGTTCCACCTACATTGAATTTAGAACATTGTAACCCGTGATTCGCCAAGTTACAACACGCACGCGATGTGTCGTAGTTTAGAGTAAATGAAATTTATTGTCCTTGTTATTCGGAATTCGAACTCTTTTCCCGCCGTTTCACCCTCGTACACCCAACACTGTGTTTTTTTTGAAAATTATTGATCAGACATATCTATCTTGATTGAAATTAATTTTAAATTTAAATTTTAATTTTAGTAGATTAAGCTGCGTTTCCATTATAATTAATTTAAACGGCGAGCCTTCGCGCATTTGTGAGAAATTTAGAAACACAAAAGTCTGCAAATCTGTAGATAAATTGTAAAGATACATGAAATATCTGAAGTGCTTGTTGTAATATTCAACAGGTGAAACAAATTAGGCTAGGTTTGTTTTTTTGGATCATTACGGGCGCAAATGCGAGAATAACCTCTCCTTTACACCAAGATCCATACGATCAAAGATTCGACTAAAATTGAACGAGAATAAAATTGAGAAGTAACAGTAGTTAGATTACAATAAAATTAATGAACACTGTTATTCATCTTTGTAATTATTATACAAAAGATACGAGATCAAGCACAAATCAAAGATCTAAGATTGACAACTGTTGTTACAGGTGAAATGGTGGTGATGTATCTTTACATGAGATACAGGTACCATTGGAACGAAGTTATGTTCAGCATGTTCACCACGTTCGCCATGGTGACGAATCTAATCGGTGAGTAAACGTTAGATAAATAATATCGGGATATAAATAAACTCTGGATATAAATATCTCTTCAAATGAATTACGAAGAACAAATCGTCGTAATTCATGATGTGTCATCGATAATCCATTAATATATCAAAGATCGCTGATGTAAGGTTACGTTCGTTACCAACGATTCTAAGAAAAATAGAATTTTTCGCATTTATTCGAATCTATAACTGGCATAAAGAACGACACTGTGAAAATAAACTCTTCGAAAATTCTTAGAAATTCTTCGCCTAAGTGACTGTAAGATTTTTACATAAATTTTCCAGCCGGAAACGTGTTAAAAATATAGCAGGAAGTTGAAAACGTGAAAAAAAAATCGTGATTCCTCCGACAATTTTCATAATAGCATTTAATTCCACATTATTATCGAAGTGATTATACATATATAGAAAAAGCAAAAAACTGAAAAGAACATGTGAATGAATGAAACATCTTGCACAGTCGAGATTGCATTTTAATAATAATGCGGAGAATCCGTTGTCATAATTGCAATCATATTCCTTTTAAATGATTTATTCTTAAGGAAGAATTCTATTCAAATAGATATATGTTTCGTGGAAATAAATGTATCTCTGAAAATCTTTCTAGGAAATCTTTCTAATAAAAATGTCATAGAAACTCTTCTTTCGAAAACTTTTCTACTTCATAGAAATTTTTCAAATAATATCACTAGAAAATATTTGTCTAATAAAACTTGTCGTTTTGCATCTCGGTTTCACTGTAAAAAAAATTCTATTTAAAACGAATGTATAACTGGTTAAAAAGATAAGTTTTTCGTTTGTGTTATTTTTACTGCTTTTTAATATACGTTTCCTAAATTTTTTTTGAGACTTCGACGAATCCACATGAAACTCGCTCAATGATCGATTTTTTTTTTCACCCATCCGATCCACAAAAGCAACAGAAATCGATTATATAATGAACAGAATTGTTACGAAGCGGAACTGTTGGCTATGTCATTTTCGAGTAAATCGTAGAAACCTCGAAACTCACAGCTACAAGGTTAAAACATAGATTAATGAAAAGAACTGTCGATTTAACCAATCTGTAGAGGAATCATTTAAATCTGACGATTTTTGAATTTTCACGACATTTTTTAGTAATAGAACCACTGAGACAATTAAAATAATTAATTGTTTCTCATAGGATCTGAATATATAGCAATATATTTTTTGAAGTTTTGAATAATATCTTTGAAAAGATATGGATAAATGCTGTCATATATCTTCTTGCATTATATATTTCTCCATTTTAATATTTCTTGGATGTTAAAGTTTCTACTTCTTCTATCTAAAATAAAGAATTCACTATAAAATTGTATCTATAGTTTGAATTCATAATTACTCGAAAGTACAAAGAACCTCGTTTAACAAATTTTTTCAATTTATTTCCTTTTCCTACAAACAACCATCATACGATTATTAAACCTTGCAATAGTAGCCTTGAAAGGAAGTGAAAGACGCGAAAATTGTTTGGTAGATACTAGCATCTAACGAAATTACTATTAATCAACTAGACATAATCAATCATTTTGCTACAGACTTGGACGTTGGTGAAAGGGTTGACTTTAAATCTTTCAAAAAAATCAAATTTATATTTATATTTATATTATAGATATATATTATTTTTATAATTATGTTTATATTTATAGGTATATTATGTTTATAATTATGGTATATTAGAATTATGGTAATTATAGTACATTATTTTTATAATTATGTTTATATTTATAGATATATATTATTTTTATAATTATGTTTATATTTATATATATATATTATTTTTATAATTATGTTTATATTTATATATATATATATTTATAGATATATATTATTTTTATAATTATGTNTTATATTTATATATATATATATTTATAGATATATATTATTTTTATAATTATGTTTATATTTATATATATATATATTTATAGATATATATTATTTTTATAATTATGTTTATATTTATATATATATATATTTATAGATATATATTATTTTTATAATTATGTTTATATTTATATATATATATTTATAGATATATATTATTTTTATAATTATGTTTATATTTATAGGAACTGCCGTATCAGTCGGTGTGTTCAGTCATATTTTAAAAATTGATGACGCTATCGTGGGAATCATGAGCTCTATGAGCAAGATATTAGCTGGTTTTGTCTATGCATTTGCAATCACGGACTGGATGATTTATTTAGGTAAGTATTCACATCAAAAATTGAATCGAACGAATATCTTAAACATCAACGCGTTACCATTATCTTTTAGAAATATTTTCAATGGGAACTTTCATTAGTTAAGAAATTACTAGCATGAAAATTTGAGTACAAATGGAGTACAATGTTAAAGAACAAAATTTCTATCTATGAAAAAATGGGGGAATTATTTGTTGTCCGTGAAATTTATCATGAGAAGAGAAATTATATTCAAAAACATTGCTCTTTCAATCCTTTTTTGCTTTATTTTACTTTCAAATGCAATCAAATCGTACGTTCATTATAAATGAACACGGTGGAAAGTGGCAAATTCACTCGAACAAATCAATAATGCGTAACACGGAAGACAATGAATAAGATAATGCAACATCATTTTCATTCATCCTTGTTCCAGCGGCCATCGTGGAAATCGTCAATGGCACATCTTTCATAGCGATGCGATCAATAGCATCTAAACTCGTATCTACAAGCGAACTTGGTGAGTTGAAGGCAAATTTATTATCTCGGCATTGTAGGCTGACGTTGCGAAACGAATGCATCTTCTTTTCTTTTTTTTGCGAAATCCAAGAAACATGTACCGTTACGTGAACATGATCATTATGTTGCACGTATTCAGGATATTCATTTTTGTAATTAACAAAATACTCAGCATATCTTTCTTCGGCTTATATAAGTAGAATATAATGCACTTATATAGTTGGAATACGTCGTATTCTTTAAGAACCTGATCAACTTAATTCACTTAATAACTAACGACAAACAATAGAAAATAAAAAAGAAAAGAAGTAAATAAAAATTTCTAACTTCGAAGACAACAAATCATTTAATCTCTTCTAACATATCGCTTTTCATCTCGAAAATTTCAACTTACTCTCAACTCTTCAACAAATTTCAGATCCTCTCTTTATTTTCTTCGAATTAAATATTTCTCCTTCGAAATGAAATCCCTTTTTCACAATCTTCCTTCGTTTGAAAGCTAGAAACTTGGTACCTCTTACACGTACGTATGCGATGATTAAAACTATCTGTGGTTGAGTACTCGAAAATTAGATGTTATTACAAAATTAGAAACGAAACTGATCCAGCATGATACGTAGCGGCCTTCGCCCTAATCGGACCGTTTTGAAACGCGTTTATCTCCGTACATTTTCTTGGAACAGCACAAATAGGATAATCTTCTTTCGTCGGATATCTTTTTGTCAAGTTACAGCACCGTTTCCAGCCAATTTTCCACGGATTTTCCTTCAAGTTGGAATAACGTCTAACGACGTTTTCCTGCCTGGCTAACGTCGTTAACGCGATCATCTTTCTCTGTGTTTCCCTTAATACCGTTATTACATCTCGTACACTAAGAAATTACGTTGATCATTTATATTGTGACCCTTAGCCAGCGTCGTGCGTCACAATAACCGCCCCGAGTTAAATTCTTCTTAACATTAGAATACTTTATCTTAATTCACGTTAATTTTATTTTAGTCAATTTTAGTTTAATTCAATCATTTAGCTTGAACCCCAACTCTAACTCGAAGCAATGCAGTAATCGCCACACTATAATCCTACGATGTTATTGAAGATCAACCATTTTGCTCCGCTGCCATCGCTTCAGCGATATATTCCTAATGCGCACGCTGTTCATTTGATTTTCCTTTCGTTAATAAAAATTTGAGAAAATGGAGATGATTACCATCTATAAATAAAAATTTATAGATGTCTCTAACTTTTTTCTCTGTAGTGAATATTTGTATTTATCTCCTCTAACAATTTAATTGAATAATAACCTAACTCTATCCAATCTGACTATAAACTTTCACTCTTCAAAGAACTGAATAAGAGAAAAGAAAGAAATACGTATATCGATTAGAATGACGTTTATCCGATTTTGTTTTCCTTTAATTTACAGGCAAAGTAAATTCGTTGCTTGGCGTTTGCGAATCTCTAATGCCACTCATTTATGGGCCCATGTACAGTTCCATTTACGCCGCAACCATGAAAACGTTTCCGGGGACGTTCTTCATTGTCGGCGCTTGCATGACCATGCCAGCAGTCGTCGCGTTCTTGTAAGTTCTTCCGGTCGCAGGTCTTTCAAATAAATTACTGCCTATCAATCAACTTTATCGAGAACTTTTTGTCAAGTCGTTTCGTCCTTTGATTTACAACAAAAGATATCGAACAATCGATCATTTTAATTGACGAATGATTTAAATAACTTTACATAGAATGAAGAAAGAGCATAAAAAAAAAGGGAGGATATGTTAAGAACACAATTTTTTTTCTTTTTTTTTTTTTTAAACCTTCCTCGCCGATGTAATGTACAATTGTCAATTTCCTTCTCTCGTATATTATCGTTTCTCATGGTAGAGAGAAAGTCGAGGAATTAAAATGAATTTCCTTACAAACAGCTGGCTGTACACGGAGCATAGGAAAGATCGACAACTGCTGGAGCAAGAGAAAGTGAAGAGCAAAGAAGGACCAGAGGAGAACGACTTGAGAACTACGAAATGGCAAGTGGTTGGCGAGAAGAAGTCAGAAGTTCCTACGATGAACGGTGTTGCGAACGCAGCTTTCGAATCTGACCATTTGTAACGCGGGATTACACGACGGAGAATCCCCATTTGAATATATACAACGCGTACGTTTCACACGTTATTAAAAATGAAGAATATTAAGCAAAAAAGAAAACGAAAGGAGTTGAAACAACTTGTATGTACATACGAATAACTTATACCGAATGGAATTTTTTTCACTTTCAAAGTGTGAGAAAGGAAATCTGAGCTATTTGTAATCGTTATTGTCGCGTTTATGTGGTAAATTTGAATTAAACACGAGGAAGGATGACGAAATTATTCCGTTTGATCTTAATGAGTAACGAAGCCACTTACTTGACACGGAAAACGTTTTAAATGAAGGATAACTTTATTTATTTCGTTGGAGAGGGACAAAGTGTAAAATGGAAATTTTTGTAAATGGGAAATTTTTCTAACTGATAATCGATCACGACAAAAGTCAGGTATCCTTTATTTCAAGCCCTAGTACAAACAGTCTCCGGTACTTAATAAACAAATGATTAACAATAGACGATATAGAGCAGACGTGTGTCTGTTCATGTGTATCAGTATTACATATGCTACTTGTATACTATTCAGTATCAAATGAAAATACGAATACGACAGAAACATTTGAAAAAAGAGAAAAAAAAAAAAAGACAAGAGAATATGCTTATAGAACGTAACGTAACATTTGGATAGACCGAGACATAAGTTTCATCTTGTGTTCGATACTCTTAAATCGCTGTTAAGTCTCATACTCGCGAGAAAAAAAAAACTAACAAGATATATCGTATATGTATGTGTATCGTTTCTTTTATTTTTCTGTAGTATCGTGCATTTTACGAGAAAATACGTCACGTGAACGAGATCGATCTGTTGTACGTTTTTATTAAAATAATATTTATGTTAAGCTCCTGCATCATTACGTACATACGTGTATTATAGTTTATTATGTGATATAGTACGATATAGTTTTGTATTTAGGAAATAAAAGTGAAGTTTACAGAAAGGAATCACTTGTCGTTTTAATTATTAGTACCGAGTTCGAAAAGGAACTTGAATGACGTAATTTTTCAATTCAGATGCTACAGACAACCTAAACAAAAAATCATGTCTTGAACAGCAATTATGACTCGAAATACGAGACAGTATGTCATAATTGTATCATTATTGCACGCTAATATTATCACGAAAATAATTGATATTTAACCCTTTGTGTCGAGTATATCCATTATAAAAAGATGGCTTTTTTTTTGTTTGATGACAAGCATACTCGTCATGTAGTAAAAAAAATTTGCATTTGCTATTGAAGTAAAATTTAAGTAAAATAGAAAAAACATATTTGTAATTTTAAAATATCTTAGAATACTTTAAGACAAGAAGAAATTGTTATCAGATGTAATTATATACAATTTTATAAAATGATACAACGAAACGATACAATTTTATAATAAAATATGATTTTAAAAAAATAACTAGAAAATTTTACTGTTTTCTTATAATTTCAATTTTACAGCAAATGCACTTGCTTTGCTTATAAATAATTAAGCACATAAGTGCACGTTCTCAAAATGAAACATTTAAAAGGTTAGGACCCTGGGAACCACAATTACAAAATACAAACTTACTTACTTTTGGATTTTGAAGCAACACTTGATCCTTTTTAGGGAACAAAAAGAAGAGAAAGAGACCCTGGAAACCCTTCAACAAAATATAAATTATTATAATTTATTCTGATTAAGTTAGTTTGGTATATGGATGTTCATATTATTCACTTCTAGTCAACAAATAACTAGATTTAATGTATGTAATATATATAATATACGTATCGCAGAAATGTTCGACAATGCATAAACAATTGTCAGAGCTATCGAGATTATAATTTTTACTTGACGATTTACCTGACAAATTCCCAGACAACGTTTCTTGCTGTTTCCCGCCTGAAACTGACTTGCGTCTCAATATAATTTACCTCGTCGGTGCTAGTGGCGCTATCGTGCAAAACCTGCGTAAATCGATATAGTAGGATGTGACAGGAAACTGGTAAGGGGGCCCTACATTGTCGACAATGGTATCTAGATAAGCTATTTCTGTTTTACCTTCAAAAATTGCGAAATCGCTGAATAGTTTACTATCTCTGTGAAACTATATTCCTGATGACCATGTCACGTCATACGCTACAGTGAGCATTGCCACCAAAGCAAGTGGCATGATGTGAAGGAATTTGGATCGTCCGAACTTTGAACATACAAATAGTCATACAGTCATACACTATACGCGCGATGCATTACACATCACATGCAGTGAGATAAGCTCGAGATAGTCATTCGATTAGTTGTGCACATCTGCAGTATTGTGTTGAACCTGATTCGTTTCACGCTTTCTACCAACGATCTGTGATTCTTGCGAGTAGAATTTTTTGTTTTTCAAGAAATAACAAAATTCTTGAACGAGAGGAACGTGAATCACCTCTTCGTGTGTGCATGCGTTCATTCTTTCTTTCTGCTTATTCGAATTCATTCTGACGTACAGTCAGTCTCTGTTCGCACGTACCACGCACCAAAATCATTTATTTATCAGGAACCGAATCGGAAAACGTGAACGTCGAGCGAAACGACGCTCGGCTAGTTAAGGTGAGCAAGAACAAGAAACTGAACTAAATCTAGCATTTTGACAACGAGCCAAGTCCCAATTAATTTTTCATACTTTCACATTATTAAATTCATCATTCATTTTATCATTTACTCCGAACATTCAATTTAAAAACGATGAATGAATAAATCAGATCTAAAATTTTTATTTCAATTCTCTAAATTTTGTATTAATTTTCTCGTTTCTGTATTATTTCATCCATTATATTTTGTTGCCAATTGCATTGCAAAGATCTTGTACAGTTGTTCCAAAAATATGTATGCTAAATATAAATGTTTTTTTACAATTACTAAAGCATGTTAAAATAGTGAAGCAATGCATGTTTGAAAATTCAGGGAAGTAATTACTTCTAAATACCATGTACATAATATCAAGGTTCAGTGAACATGTATTTAGTTAATACTGTCTTAATGTATACGGCATTTCAATGTATTGTTAGAATGTAAATTAACCGAATTATGAAAACTTCTAGATTTTGTGATTACGATAAAAACTATTAATTACGCTAGACGCAGGAAATCCTCCGTCGCTTAGAATTGCTGATAATTGATCTATATAGATTTATTTTAGCAATAAGAACCGGCTTTAGCAGTCGTTACGATTTGCATCGACTTTGAAAAAAAATTTTTAATCAATATCGTTGGATCGACGATTACTTCGAAGAAATCGAAAAAATCGAAATAATACTATCCCCTCAAGATAAAAATCTATGGTATAGCACGGACGTTGCATTGAGATTTTGAAGTAACACAACATTCGTATTAACGCGAAAAACAATATTCCAATTATATTACAAATTTATCCAACTATACTATTTGATTCAACGAAAGGAGCTAACGACATACTTTCTCAAAGAATCGTTTTACAGTAATCTGTCAACACAAAGTGTGATTTCGGATTTACTCTGAAAAGGAAGGTAAAGATGTGCAAACTGCCAGATACAATTTGCAATAAATACATCAGATATTACAAAATTTCAATGGAATATTTTAAGATACTTAAAATTCGAAAATTCGAAGCATCTGATAATTTCATTAGTTACATAAAACAAACTTCACCAAAGAGGAATTACAAATATAATTATATAGATTCTGTGTGAAATTGATCTAAGAAAACGTATTGACCGATTGTAAATTTACAATCGAGTATTTGGTCAACACTGCTTGAAAAGTACCTGCAAATCCGTTTTTATTGTAGTGCGCAGATTTATGAATCTGAAACATATTAAAAAATTACTTATTCCGCATATTTACAATGAAAATGTAGATTGTCAATTTGCATTTCTTTAATATTCATTAACATTCATATTCTTCTTGTTCTTTTTTCAAACTTTTCTTACCGTGCAGCGGAAGCGCGTCGTGCCAGGTTTTTACCAGCTGCGCGCGTATTCCAGGTTTCTACCACACGATAATTCCTATTTACATGGGAAAATACATATGTACATTGGAAGAATTCATAACGATGAGACCTAGTACCGGTTGAGCCAGTTTGAACAAAACAAAATTGATCTTTCCCTTTCATTATTTTCCCCCGGTAGTTTCAAACAGCTATGTACATATGTGCATATTTATATACATACATGTGTATACCGTCACGTTGCATAAATTCCATATAATTTATATGCGTTCGAACAGTCACAGTTAACTTGTAGATATAGCTGAATGTAAGATTTAACGATTAAACATTACATTTTCAATGTAATAGTTGTAATTATACGTGGAACAATGTTTAATAAGGCAACTTCGTTTATAGTAACGACCCTTCTACGTCGGCGCAAAATTTATTAATATGCTTAAATAAGTTTTCATTGTCTCATTTAACAATTACGCAACAACATATTGTACGCGATTACGCGATTAATAAAAGACACTTGATGAACATTTCTAACAATCAGACACGATGGGTTGGAATTGGTTTTCTTTTTTTCTGTTATTCTGGAAATTACTAACACGGAGACTTTTCACCTACAACGCAAAAATAATATTACCCATTTATTAAAGTATGCACATTGTATGTAGATCGATGGCTGTTCGAGTTAAGGTGTCAATGAATTCCCATGATGACCTTTATAATCAGAATTATTTGCTTAGGCATAGTATCGAATTGAAAGCAATTAAACATGCGAATATGGTGTGACCGTGGCCATTCGGCCGATTCACGATTGTTAACTTATGCCGACCTGCATGGAATAATAACTTCAAGTTCTATCTTCTAAGAAAACATGATACATATGTGTATTGTGGAAAAAATATAGTTGGATCATAAAATAGATTAGGCGTTCAAGTTTCTGTGTTTCAAAAATAAATATGGGGAATTTGAGATTATTTATGTAGGTATTCCAGACACAATGTCATTCCGGAATTTTTCCTGTAGTACATACATATGTACATTTTAAGGAATCGTGAAGAAAAACAAATTCTAGGAATGCACAACTTGTTATTTTTTATACTATGCATGTATATTATAAAGAATTTGATATTTTGCGAACAACCTACAGTTTAAGATACTTTCGTGAAATACTTGCTTCGTCAATGCTTCAGTTTACAATCTCATTAGTATTCACGATCTTTTCTGCGAACTATGTACGAAGATCAAGTACGACACAATATTCGTAGCAAATTATTTCCTGGATATAGATAAGTAAAAAAATAAAAAACATAAAAGAACTAAATCATATCCTCAAGTCTCAATAACTTCAATTTTTATCAAATGATTGCAAAGTAGTATGTACTGAGTAAAATATAAACATAGTTTTCACAAAAAAGAATGACGATAATGAAATGAGTCATATACACCAATAATCAATTTGATCACTTTTATATGATACATTCAAATATGTTTTAATATATAGTTTTTATCGTCAATATTATCGACATGCGTTGATTCTTTTTCGATTTAATAAATATTTAACGTATTTTTGCAAATAATAAGTCTTTCTCTCTCTTCAGTGCAAAGGGATGCCATCAAAATGGGTTTGTATAATCCTTAATCTGATAGTTTGTGTAATTGCATCTGAGGAAGACGAGGCTACTAGAGCCTACATAAAAATAACCGAATTCGATTACGAGGATACTTGCCTGAGCACAGCCGAAGCGCAATGGGAATTCATTAATTCACCATCGAATGAAAAATTATCAGCATGGGTATGTCTTGCAATTTACTAACACGGAATGTACATCGATAAATATGCAAAAATTTATTAATATGCTCGTTCTCTTATAGGAAGAGAAATTAATATCTTATGCCGCTTTCAAGAACACAGAAAAAAACATAATAGCAAACATTTCAAGAGCTGATATCAACGATGAATCTTTACAATACAAGTACGATGTTGCTGAAAAAATAGGTGATGCTCTATTGGATATTGAAGATTTTAAAACAGTAAGATTTTGTTTTATTTTAACAAAGATATTTTAATCGAACTTACAACATTAATCTTACTTGTAGCTTGTTCATTTTTCCGGGATCACAGAATTGATGAGATTATCTACAATTCACAAAGGAATTTTGAATGGTTACACGAAACAAGGTAGCAGAAATTTCGATTTATCATAAGGATATTAAAAATTGAATTAATAACAAATATATTGGGAATTTCAGATGTAGAACGTATATTGTCTCGTGATAGCAATATTAGAAATAGGAGCACTGTTTGGACAACATGGCATCAACAACTAGCCCCACTAGTTAATAATTTTTCAACTATCTTAACATTTGCTGATAAAGCTGCCAAAGAAAATGGTGAATATTTTGGGAAAATAAATAATGTTTGTACTTCAAATATAACTTTTAATTGTAAATATGTTATTACTTCCATTTTAGGTGCCAAAGATGTTTCAGAATATTGGGAACTCTTAAGTGGATATAGCGATGGTTATGACAAAATTAGATATAAATGGAATAGGATTATCGATCTTCATAAAAAAATATTGAAATTCGCAATAACTATCATGACTAAGAAATATAATATTAATATGAATGACACAATACCAGCATACTTACTTGGTAAGTATAATTACGCTCTTAAATAAATAATATATTATATAAATTACATTTGTTATAAAAGGATCCTTACAAGGAACTGATTGGATTCCTATATCAATTGATATAACACCTTATCCAGATCTTATATATAGTATTAAAAAAAATCTTTGGAAAAGGGTAATATTTTATTTATCATTTTAATAACAAATGAAATTTGAACAGAAAATTGAATTAAATTTTATTTTAGAAACTTCTTGGGAAATCGCTCTACAAAACTGCTTCTGCTATGAGTGCACAAATACTAAGTCAAGTGCCGCAAGCAGAATTTTGGGAGAAAAGTCATTTTAATCAGCAGTGTCCATCAAAATTAATTAATTTTTGCAAAAATGCTGTTTTGAGGTACTTTATAATTAAATGTTTCAAAAATTATACATTTTTAATCGTCTTCATATTACAGGGTATCTACTTGCTTTGAGCCTACTATAAGTAATTATCTTTCTGCTCACAAAAACGTAGGAAAAATTGTATTCAATCAATTATCTGTCGAAGATACGCCGATACTTAACACGGCTAATCGATATTCAGGTAAGATATTGACAATAAATATATACTTCTGACTTATGAAAAAAAAATATGAAAATTTTATTTACAGGTTTGGAGGAAAGTGTGTCAGAACTCTTTGGTATTTTAGCTGCAAGTCCTGCTTGGTTAAATTACACGCATATTATCGATGATTCTAGCGATAATGATCAAAATTTAATTACATCTCTTATGATCACTGCATTGAACACATTACCACAAATTGTTTATTACATATCTGTAGACATGTGGAGAATTAATGCTGTTAAAAAAAATATAACAAATTCTGAGGATTTAATATCATCTTGGTGGGAATATAGGTAATACTAATTGCTTAAAATATTAAAATTATATTCAATATGTTTTAAGAAATTTTTCAATACAAGTTACTAAAATTTCAATTGTAGAGAAGAATATGAAGGACTCGACTCTAATGGAATGAATTTGCCTACATTTTTAAATGACGATTATATTACAAGCAATAAGCCTTATCTGCCGTAAGTAGTAGTAAAAACTTTAAAACAATAGTATATTTACATTGTTACAAACAATGTTATAAATATTCTTATAGGAAAATAATTGGCACAATGTTAGCATTTCAATTATATGAATATCTGATGGAATCCACGGAAGTTAGATATGATTCGATCGTGAGAAAACATATGAATATTGATTTCTTGTAAGTGTTATTATAAATATTATTTACAAATAAAAACTCTAATAGTAATTTTCTAGAATAAAAGTAAAAACATCTTTTTGACAGAAAAATGATTCAGCAAGGAAGTGCCGATGATTGGATGAAAGTAATTGATAAATATTTGGAAATAGACGAAATTTCACCAGACTCGTTACTCTCATTTTTCTTACCGTTAGAAGATTTCATTGATGAGTTGGATGATGATTTCCAATTCAAAGCAATTACCGCCAAAGAGTCAGAATTAGACAAATTAGAAAAAGAAATAATTATGGAAATGAATGTTCCGTTAACGACCACTAGCACTACAACTGCTACCCCGAAACATGTGAACACAAAACCAAAAGTACCAGATGCAAAGTCTTCAAACAAACAAAATGACAAAAGAAGCGATACGAATACTGTGGCTAATTCCAGTAAAAATTTAGAATCTAAATCGTCTATATATACACCAGAGAAGAAACCAGAAAATCATAATCCATTACAGTCAGTAACAACCGAAGTTCCTTTTGATAAGTCATTACTTGATATTCAGGACACAGATAAGAAACCAAAGATTAGTAGTAATAAGGCAGTATGGGCGGTGGGTGCGGTGTTGATAGCAACAATAATCATTTGTATAATTGCAATATTCGGAAGACAAAGATGTCGCAAAGTACCAAAAAATAGACGATACGTTTAATAGTATCTATTTACATTGAAAAAAAATCTCTACATCACGTATATTTATTTTCGCATTTTAGTCTGTAATATTTTCTTTAAAGTAAGTTATTGTTATAAATCGTTTCATACAGGAAAACATTTATTAATTCGTAATATCTAATATTGTACATTCCTTACTGTTCGTTGCAAAAAAGAAACAGAAGCTACTCTCAGAACTGTAATGTGAATACTAGTCTCTTGATACAATTGAGCAGTACATATGAAAGAGCTTAATAAAAAGGAATGATGAGTATTAACAAGTATAAGCGTAAATATTGTATTCAATTAAATTCTCTAATTTGAAATTATTTAATTTTTATTGTATTATGTATATATGTATACAAATTTAATATGCATTAGTATTAAAAATAGGAAAGGAATGTAATATGCATGCTAAGTACAATAGTTCCTCGACCACTATGCCAAATTATAAAAAACTAAAACGTTTACGAAACGTACAGAATAAAAGATGTTTCCCTTTTTTGTATTCGTAGGATATGTACTTCAATGGTATCTGTATCAATGGTATATGTATCATATTTTTCAAGATATGATTTGTACATAATTACTCATACAGAATTGTAAGATAAAAAGCATAACGTGTCATAACGTTAATCATGTCACAAAACCAGTGTAACATATTTTTCTAACATAATAATATCATGTATGATATTTATACATGTTTGTATACAATATAATCTTTATATTAAGAATTTATATTTTTTATAAAAGTATTTATTTTGTACCACATAAAGCAATCTAATAAAGCATTCTTCTGGTACAAAATTAATATGCGTCAGTTTTTAAATTAAAAAAATTAATTTGTCTCTTGTCTACGATGTTGAGAATCGAATTAAGCGTTCTGTTGAATTGCAAATATAAATACAAGGATATACATAATTCATATCATTTGCTTATCTGAATCAAATAATACACAAAAACCTACATTTCATATGAAACTTATACGTACACTTCATACATTTAAAAAAGATAAATTAACGAACTGACTTCAAGTTTTAAATACAAATTATTTTCGGTTATTGCAAGATATAACTTGTTTTTTTATTTTCTATAATATTTTCTGATATGAGTAAAATATAATACAATCTCATAGATCCTTTGATATTCAACAAAAACTCCATTATCAGATAAAAATCTTTTATAAATATCTCACCATATAAAGCAAATGCTTTTCGCGTTTGCTATCGCTATCTTTTACACCAAGGCATAAGGTGCAGATCATGCAAAGAAATAACAATCTTTCTGGAGACAGATATCAAAGCGCAGAAAATCAATATGAGACGAAGTCGGGTCAGAATCGCCGCACGATCGCATATTCTCTCTTTCAAAAGATATTATTAACTGTAAATGTGTAACATTCGCTATTATCTCTTATACTTGATTATTCATATATGAGTCATCTTAATACACGGACTAATCTATTTGCAAAGGTATTTAGAAAAATATTTGTTAAAGGAGAGTGGAAAGTTGTGGATCAGTTGTTCGATCATCAATGCCTAGAGAGGGTGTTCTGGACATGCGCAGGATAACTTGAAAACATTAAGGGATGACCATACCACCGGCAGTTCATTATCATTGCGTCCTTCGCATCAGATCGAGCAACAATACTCGAGACATTAGTGGTTAAAATTACACACACGCGAGCAGAACAGCAGAAGTGCAAAACGGAATCATCCCCTTTCCTCATAAACGACCGTAAAATTCGAGAGCATGCGCGTACGACGTTAGACAGGGGTTGTTGCAGTCAGGGAGGGGCTCTCTTCGCCAGAGTGACTCAGAATATGCATTCCAGAAAGTACATCTTCGGGTGATTTTTAAGAAGTGACATGCATATATGACCACTACAGTGATATTGCCTTGGAATTCTACACGATGTCATAATTCGTGGCAGTGTTGAGTGTTACGTGGATCGACTGTCAGCTGTCCCTTCACCATGAACGTGAGTATCTCAGACTACCTCCAGTATCGACTCGTTTTCTAGCACTGAAGAATGTGGGCGTGTGTTTCTCTATTGCTCGATTAAGATACGCCTCGTACGTGTTAACATACAATCAAAAGTAGGAATCTAATGTCGTTTGTGCAGTAAAAAAGAAAAAAGCAAAATCAAAAAATTCTTGTCGTCTTCTTTATAGTTCTAAGGCATAGTTGAACCTAATACGTCATTGACCTCTGTTATACATAAAATCGATGCGAAGGTTACATCTAATAGAGAAGCTCTCCCGTTTGCACTGAGTTTTGTGCAAATATGCCGATCAATACGTTGTATCTGAAAAACATAGCCAGACATTGGTAATTTAAAAATTTTCATATTATTGTATTCAATTATTCTTTTCTTTTCGAAATATTCTCTGCGATTACCTATCTTGTATTTAAATTTATAAATCTTCTGTGACTAAATATTGGGAAACGAAAAGCAATTATCTTTTTCTAATTTTAACAAATTGAATTTTAAAGACAAATAGATTATCATTTTTACCATTTATTAACACGACTTTATTTACTGTGAAATTATAAGTACGGATAATAATGATCAGTTTACGAGGTTGTTGGAGATAATTGTACTAGCAGTGATTCATCCATTTCTCATTTAGGCACGAACTCTTATTAGGATCCAGTGACCTTGTTCCTCGGAGCACTCGGCCTTTTTTGTTTGCCTGCGTCGGAAAAATAGCTTAAGAATCGTTTGCAGCCGCCTGTATATCATGTTCTTCTGGTTAATTACAATCTGACACCTTTATTCACGCGTTGAGATTTATATGGGTATCCTCCATGTATCCTCAGAAGAAAAAGAAAGAAGAGAACAAAGCCATGTGGGTTGTAGAAAGAAAAACGTGTTTTGGAATTGCAAAAGGGTGCCCACGTATACAACAATTTTGTCGTTGATATTTGTCTAATCGTTAATTATCGAATAATATGTATGTTATTTTATTATCAATATCTTTCTCGTATCACTGAAACATTAACAAAAAAATAATATTTAACATAATAAATTTTTAAATTATTAGTTGAAGAAGAAATATAATACAAAAAAGTAATATAACAATTAATTTAACAAATTTTTAATAAAAATTTAAGCTAAATTTATAGCTTACCAAGATAAGTTGATAATGTTATAATATGCAATTTGATAACAATTAAGATAAATCGTTTCATAATGATAACTATTTATAGAATAAGAAATATTCTTTCAACAATATTTTTTTTCTCCTCTTAGCTCTCAAGTTAAGAAAGGGAGAATGCAACCTTTCAAAGGTACTGCTTCGCTGCACTTGTGAAGGTTCAAAAATAACGTGGTATTTTATAACTTGCTACTTATGAAATGACTTAAGAATGCGAGTTTCCTGTCGCAACCCTTCAATCCAAATAAAATGATATTGGAAAAAAGAAAAGTTAATTAACAACCGAGATCTTAAGTGTAGTAATTATTTCCGTGACTAAGGCGTCACTATATTTTAAATATCAAAGGTAATATCGAATTTCACGAAAATTCACTGAACCTTAAACGTCATTATATTTCAATCTGGAAAAGTTTCTAACACGGTAATATGAAACAATAAACAAGGACAGTTGCATTCCTCTTTTTTTTAACATAATAAATATTGACAAAACGTCGGCAAATAGAATTAATAATATATATCCATATTTTTTAGGCTTTGACGACAGGTATTGTCTGCGGCAACGGGGAACGCGTTGGTAAGTTGAGTTTGCATACACATTTAATTTATACTTTTGCCGACTCACTTTAAATGTAGCTTAATCTATAAAAACTGAATGTGTAATATATACTTTCTTATAATAATTAATATCTAATTATTATAGTACGGCTAAGTCATGTAAATTCATATTTTTATAACGAATATAATAAAAAAAGATAGAAAACTATTTTATCCACTAAATTTGAATCTACAATTCAAATTTATTTAAATTCATTTGAGCTCTCTGTAAATCTTTCGTACACGTAATTACTTTACATTTCATTTCATCGGAAGATATACTATACCCGTGATAGCGCTTATCGATTTGATAAATTGTTTATGTTCAGACATCTTATCCCAAATAAAATTGCATGGGAATTTATATTCTTTTATAAATAATACTGAATTAAAGCTTACCAAAATGAAAAGAAACTTGGAGCTATTTTTAGTTTTCAATCCGGAAATCGATTTTCCATAACAGTAGTTCGAGAATTGGCTCAAATTCAAACTCGAGAATCATAATCAACTGATGTATATCAAAATTTCCTACAAATACACAAAAAGATAAATTTTAATATAAATATTGCAGGATAATATTCTAAGGTCTGAAAGTCATAAATCATATCAAGCGCTAATTTGATCGTACATTGTTTCCCTATTAACTCGATCGAATCTCTCCCTGGTGAATTCGTCGATAAAAATCAAATTAAAGATAAAATCGGTTCGCGTTTGCTACGAACTCTGATATGAAACACCGCGTATGAATTCAAAGAACCGGCAGTGGAGAGCTGCTCTCTATTCTGGCCGAGGCAAAGCGGGTATTTATTAATAGAGATTAAACTCCGCGTCGTGTCGTGCCGTGTGCAAACGCTCTCCCGCGCAGGACGCACGCTGTTAGGGCAGTCTGACTCAGACAGCGGTCCAGAAACTGATTTCGCCAAAATAATCGTGAAAAAATCGTATTGCTCCTCCATCATTTTAAACTGGATTAAGTCTATTTGTTATCTGAAAACAAGCAAATGTGTATTTGTGTCTAGTGTTGTTTTATAAACGACTGCATTGGGAAAATTTATACAAGTGATAGTATATGTGGTGAACGAAGAAAGTGAACGAACCGTTTTGGAAATGAATGAGTTCGTTAGAATGACATGAACATTCGATATAAGGCTTTTCTATATCTTGTGTAATACATTCATGTGTGTTCCTTCTGTAGTACGGACTACAGGTTCGCCCTCTTTTGTTAGAATAGTACTATTACACAGAAGATAATCCTTCCGTTTTTAAATGTTGCTTACAATTAGCATTTAAGTTTGTTATCATCATTTTAGGAAACACGTTTGATTTAACATCCGTCTAAAAGAAGTTTCTACATTAATAATCATAAATAGTAATTTATTTTATATTGTCATCATTATCCTCAATAAAATTCTCATTCGTATATACTTACATGTAATTTAAGTAATTTAAGTAAGTATAGTAAAAAAAATATGAACCAGATTTTGAACAATAAAAAGTTCAAGGCAGAGCCTTACAAAAGACTCCAATGCACTTCCAATTTCTAAAACAAGAGTATAAGAAAATTATTTCCACGAAAAGCATATAATTACATTACATGCATATGATACATTAATTCTATGTTTAGTGATGTCATATTTGATTAAATATTTTATATAATTTGAACTTGACAATGATGAAATAAATAAAAGATAATTTAATATTATTTTAATAAATTTTTAAATAATTTAAAGTAACAGTAAAAGGTACATCAAATTTAAAAGACTTCATGTATTATTTGATAGTCCAATAAGTACCCAATAAGTTATTGCAGTTAATGTTGATTTACTAGGTCATTATATATGTACTATGCAATGAAACGACGATTTTGTGAAGCGCTTACTTACTGTAGTAAAGCACATTTATCCTGTATAAATATTATAATACTAACGAAATTAATCGTTTAATATTATTGATAAAGTATCAGTAGGTAAATAATTTTCTCTGATTTCATAGTTACGCGTAAAATGCAATAGGACTTGATTGATTGCTATGATTGATTTTCAATCATAGTAATTGATATCGCGATAAATTAAACTCTGCATTGATAAATAATAATTGCCACTTCTGCATATTTTCTACTTTGAATTTGAACTTCACATCAATTTCATATTGAGGATAATTTGGATTTAATCGACAATGCATTATCGACAAGATTCCTTTCAATAATTTATAAAATGCTTTGTTATCCATTGTTATGATTTACAAGCTACTTCCTTGAATCAATTATTTATGAATCAATAATCCTCAGACAATTGTCGATCAATGTGTGTCACTCAATGTTCCAGTATTTTTTATCTTCTGTCCGTATTTCAAAGCGCTAATCGGTCCGACGAACCCTCGTTATCTTAACGTTCGATTAACTCGAAACAATTGCTTCACCACTTGTTGCAATTTAGGCAGATGAACGCGTCTACTGACGTAACAACTATTATTACTATTGTCTTCTAGAATATTAGATAGATGCCAAAATTCTACGTTTTGTAATTCTATTTAATCTTCCACATCTTTGTTCAAACTTTCCCTTTTGAGTTTGCTATCTAGATGTGGTTTCTGCGAAATTCGTGACTCATCTTGATGGGCACACCCCACTGATATCGTACTTTCATGAGTATCAATATTGAAGAAATTCCAGATTCTTTACTATTCAAAATACGGTTCATATTTTCTTGCTATACGTACCTAAGTTATAAATATCAATACGATAATTATTTAGAAAATGGAGGTGAAAATGGAGAATTACTATTAAATTACTATTTATTTATTAATATAGAAAGAATAGTATAGCATCTAAATAAATTGTACTACTTGAAACTAACATTTTTGAATTCTAATCGTCTCTATAAGTAAAAATTTTAACATTATATTAATATTTGAAATACTATTTTATTTATACGTGCCTTTTTTACTCTTCAGAATAAAAGAAATTCATTTTTTTTAAATTATATATGTATATAAATCAGTGAAGAAGCTTTTTAAAGTAGAGACGACTATATAAAATAAAATTCTTCTTCATCAGTGTAAAAAACTTTTGTCTCATTATAAAAAATCTTGATATATCATTGCAAATTCTATACTGTTAGAAGATCAAAAATCAGCAAACGTCACGAAATTATCTTTTTATCTGTAAGGTTGAAATTTAGTTGAACAATCTAATATATGAATCTTAATTGTGATATCTCTTTTCCGCCAGAAACCAGTATAGCCGGTGTAGTTGTTGATACTTAAATTCTTCAAGATTTATACAGTTGCACAGTTTCCGCGCATAGACGTCGTTTTCTTCAGTAAAACCGGAAACGTGGGTTTAACTACGACAATATGCATGTTCATTGTTCGCGATGTAAACGTTGCAGCGAAGTGGTGTGCTATAAACAAAGGCATCTTTGAAAGGTGTCATCGGCTCGAGCAGAGACGAGTAATCGACTGTGTTTTACCCGTATTTCATTCGTCAAAGTACAAACATCTTTCATACAAAAAAGTGTTGGAAGGCCGTGGAGTGTCGCAGGAACTGTTCCCATTCGTGATGTAGCTTTGCAGTGATAAATGTACATATGCGCACTGTCTGTAGTAGATTAATGAAAAGTGAACATTTTAAAACAACGAACAAAAGAGTTTCGATATATTCATGTTCGGATAACTGATAAACTTTTGCACTTACTATTTATCTGTTAGTTATTAAAACGCGCGATCGAGTTTCTTTCAAGAATCTACGTGAGACACTTTCTGACTGGCTATCCAGTAACAAAGCGTTACTACTATGTTGTAACGTGATAGAACAATAAAAACGCTGAATATTAACAAATGATGATAGTGCTTCTGTTGTGCGTCATCATGAAAATAGCAGAGTTCTCTGTGGGCCGTATGAGCCCACCATTCCAGACGCCTGCACGACCGCCACATCTTTACTATGGCAAACAGAAGAGGAAAGAACGAAAATATTATCGGCGGCCCAATGAAATATGCCATTGTTTAGTTTATAATCGTAAGAATATACAAAAATTAATATACTTTATACATAATACATCTTTAATTCATGTTTAGGTATTAATATCTGAGTACTGTCAACAACGATTGAGTTTATGAATATAATGGATGAAACATTTGATAAAGTAATCCAGTAATAGGAAATAGTAAGAGTCAAATCCCAGACCTTTCTTCGCATAAAATCCATGAAAATACATGAACATGATTTTTTTTTTCATTTTTTGGTTAGTCAGCATAATTATCATTCTGCTATTCTCCTCACTTCTTCATCGTGATTATATTTGATCAAGCATCTTCTTTTCTTGGAATATTTTATTCATAAAAAGTATAGAAAAAGTAAAAAAATAGTAAAATTATGTTGAATACTAGTGCCAAACATATTTCAATAATATCTATTAAAATATAACATCTATTTCAGATCATTTAGATCCGAGGAGAATAGTAAAATGTCTCACCTATTTGTTCAAGGCTACGCGTATTAACAATCGCTAATAAACGTACTGTTGAGTATGATGGAATAATAACATCAATTCAAATGGATAGTTTCAAGAATTGCATTTCCGTACAAGACGATTGAAATATATGTGACACTGTCAAGTTCCTCAGAAAAATTTTATTTAATTTAAAGTTTGATTTAAAACTCTTTCACGACTACATATGTAAGAAATGACTCTTGGCCCTACTATTTTGGGCAGCGCATTCAATACAGGAATATTTTGCATATGCGCACAGGAAAAAATAATTATATGACATCTGAAATATAATTACGTGATGATTCCTAATATATTTTTACATGACAATTCCATTTGATTTAGAGTCATTAAAATTTTTATTTTTAATTTCCTAAAAAAAGCACAAGTAAAAAATGATATTACTTCTAGACTCCTAGAGGAATATTGCATGTTCAAAAATTTTGTTAAATTAGAACAGATTTGTTGGATTTATTTAGTGAAGAAAAAATTGCGAGTACAAACCAAGCCAAGAGAATCAGTTCCTTTTGGCAGGCAAATTCGAGGATTATATTTCATCAGTTCACATGTAAAATTTTCGTCGTGTCATGAAATTTGGCTCTTGAATTTCTTCTGCAACTTCCCTCGCTACTTCTGCTAAAATTATCCACTCTCCACACTGTTGAACGAGATACCGTGAAGAATTTTCTCTCAGATGGATGAAACCGCGATTGGTATTTGATATTAAGACCATTAAATATATTACCGCCAACAAGTTCTATTATCTAACATCACGTTTACTCAAATTCAGGTTCAGATATCTTGAAATAAAATTAAAGCTTCAAAGAAATACAAAAAACAAATTACTTGGTGATGCTAGAATTTCTATTACTGAAACATTATAATAAGTTACTCTTTGTAGTATTAAGAGGTAAACAATAAAATAACAATAATGCAACTTCATATTTTTTATAAAAGTACAAATATAATTAGCAAAGAAATTTTGGAACTTTTAATCTCACCTTATAGTTTTGCTAACAGAGGTCGCATAAAAAGATTCATTGAACAATTCCTACAATTAATAAGTAATAGTTAGATTATTCAAAAATATAATTATAACTATTAGAATTTATAAAATATTAATACAAAAGTTTTCTTACCACATCCAACTTTAAGAATTGAAGCAAAGTTTTAAGCAATGATTCTGCGCAAAAGTGTCGGCAAAAAAAAATAGACTCTTTCATTCAAGCGTGAATGTTTTTGACAAGTGACAAAACAAATCTAGCATATCATAGTCTTAATTCAGCCGTGTTGTATCCGATTTCCTTTCGCCCACCCTTTACATTGGATCGGTAATGCTCATGCGCCGCATTAGCAATCGTACCTACTCCATAGGCGCAGTTGAAATGAGTTCTTAAATCCAATGAGTGACGGGCGGATCGTCGCCATATGGTCGCGAGCATGAGTGTTTTCGGATAACATTTATCAAATATGTAAATATTTTCCGTAGAACAAAAACTCCGAGCGACCGTGGCGATGCGATGGAAAAGAATTTTTACTCGAGGTACGATTTGTAACTCGTCTTTCTCTCTCTCTCTCTCTCTCTCTCTCTCTCTCTCTCTCTCTCTCTCTCTCTCTCTCATCGTTCTGTATTAATTTTAGTTTTTCTAACGAGACGGATTAAAAGTCATTGAAGATGGGTACTGGTATCCATTGAGTTATTCACATGTGTCGTAAACTACGAATGACAGTGAACTATCAATTACATATGTATATTACTGTACCTCCTTTAATTTAGAATATTTATAACTTAGCTATTATTATTTATGGGCCATATAATATCTAAGACTAAACACAGAAGTAATCTAACATATACATATAATGATATTAAGTTTCCTGGCTCATTGTTAGTGTTTTTTCACGTTGCATGACGAAATATGAGTATTATTACAATGTTAAATAGTATGTTAATAAACAATTTATATAGAAAATTCATACTGTTTAATTGATGTTTAACAAATATTGTCAGACAATCGATTTTTGATCTTTCGATAATTCCGAAAATGATAGGCACATGGTACGTAAATTTGAATTCTGAAACAATTTAAAGTTTTCCAATATGTAGTACTATGAGCATGATTTAATATTTAAAATTCTCGAAAGTCTTGATGGATTTCATAATCTTATATAAGATATTGAAGATCTAATATAATATAAAAGATCATAAAAGTAAGATATTGGATACTTATTACGCATTTAAACTTTAAAGATTCAACGTTTATATCTGTCGCGACTTAAATTCGGAAGTCAAATCTTTTGGATGTATCAAGTAGATATTCGAATTTTATCTCATATTTGAGGAATTTTGAATTATTTCAGAGCACATCGTTACCCATTGTTGAACACACATTTTTCATCAATTTCTCAAACTAAAATTAATATCCTTCGATCGATTGATTAATTATTTATTACGTGACAACTAACCTTAAAACACGCCCTCTTAACTGTCCGGATGACGCGCAGCCTTGATTATCCCCGATACGGAACGTGAGCGCATTTGCTCAAATGCGTCCGCCATAACCTTAGCCTGACGTCATTCGCTGACACTTTACTTCGTGAACATTCCACGGTATACGAAGAGAAGTTTTTAACATGTTTGTCAGTGCTTTGATAGCACTATTGAAACCGTTCGAGTAAGTAGTTTTCTGTTGTGCTCCAGAAATTATAATTCCTCATCGTCATTACTATGGTACTGCAACTATGTGAGCTTTACATCAATAAAAAAATGGTCACATACCATTGTACTTCCAATAACATAATAACAGCGAAGCTTTACACGCAGTTTTGCACGTTCAGTTCCTATTTTTGTACATGATTTGTGTAACACATGGATTTGACACATTTCTGGTCTGTCAGTGAATGTAAACAATGTAACCAAATGATTAAATCATGTAATTTTAGCAGCAAGAGCTTTTGTATTATATGTGATTTCCAATGTTATATTGGTGAAAAAAAGAAACATGTTTAACAAACCAGAAAAGCACTTTGTTTATGCGAGATATGGTCTGTTTTTCATTGTTTTAATTAACTGTGTATGACTTGGTAATTGTTATTAATGATGCATAATGTTTCTTAGGTGCAGGCAAGGGGGCTGCAATGATGGAAGATCCACAAACACCAGGATCTGATTGTAACTCCAATCCTGCAATAGATTCTATCCAACATGATTTAATTAGTTCTGAATTTGTGCAGGACAATGTGGAATATCAATGGTTCATTGATTATGGGTAAGGTTTTAATAAGAATTATAGTACATTTATATTATAAATATATATTTATACTTACATAATACATATATATTTATACTTACATTTATATATATATATTTATATATTTATACTTACATTTATATATATATTTATATATTTATACTTACATTTATATATATATTTATATATTTATACTTACATAAAATGACAGCTATAGAGATGGAGGACTTCATGTTCATCCAAGTGTCTTATCCTCACTCTCTGCTTCATATTCGCGGGAAGATTTGGGCTATTATGACGATCTTGCCCGTAATCTGGATGCTAATTTGGCAGAGATTGATATGGAAAGCTTTCGTACAGCAGATATCCATACTTTGCTTACAGCATTGCCCGTCATGTGCACAGATCCAGTTCAGCATTCAGAGGTAAATAAAATTCATTATTATATAATCTGTTCTTTATATTATAACGTAAGTCATATAATCTAGTTACCAGAAACAATTATTTTCATTGTGGATAGTTTGCAAGCAAATATATTATAAATCTTTTCGGATATTACAAAAACTAGTATTTTACAATGTTACTAATAATGATAAATTGAGATATCTTTCGATAAATGTTATTTTTTAATCTATGAATAATCATCAATTGTAATTTTTTATTGTAACATCTTAAAATATTTCCTACTTCTTCATTATTGTTGTAAATAACATTCTACAAGCATTCTATATCTTCATTATTATGGCAGTTTAACTATCAAAGGGAACGATATGCCAGTATATCTGGATCTGTTATGGAAAAACTTGACATCGGTTCATCAATCAGCCCTCATACCAGCAGCCAGGTATGATAATGGCTGAAAATGTTAAATTTTTTTTACGGATGTTTCTTTAATATTAAAGATGCTATAAAAGTGTTTTACATTAATATGAATTTTGCTTAATATAAAAATAAAACTTGATTTGCTTGCAATTCCTCTGCATGATTAATAAAAAAAATAATTATAAGCTAATTTGATTATGTAACAACTACAGAAGATAGAAACTATTAAAATTAATAAAACCAGTTTTTATTTAAGCAGTGCATGAAAGTGAGCTGTGCTATTTATACAATATGCATGAGATTATTTAAGAATACATAGAATCTATATTAAAATCACATTTTTTATTAAAGGGAGAAGATTCCGCTTGTTCAACAACAGATACAATTTCTATTTGCAAATCGTCATTACTCTTCTCACCTTTGAAAGAGACACCCATACTACCACCAGGGGGTAGTTATAGCGTCGACTCTCTGGACTGTGAGGATATGCTGCTAACATGTCAAACGAATAATAAAGACAACTACACTATTGCTTTTGAGGGTAGTATTACAATGTATTCAGATGGTTCTCAAGATTTTGAAAACCAAGGTACAAGAACAAATGATATTAGATATGTATAAATAGCAAACAAATATAATTTTACTGACTTGTTTTTATAGAAAAACAGCAAAAAACTTATGAAACGGCAGAACCGTATTATAATAGAAATGCGGACTTGAAAAATGACTTATCAATGGCATGTTCTGATTCTAAAATATATACAACATGGAGCAATTTGAAACATTCTTCTATGAATAAAATTATAACTCGACATCCATCAGGCAATAATAATACAATACCAGAATTTTCACATGGAGTGGAAAATATTATATCTGCACCAAATAAGAGAAGTCAAAGTTTGCCAGATCTTACTCAGGCTAGACAGTTACATGTTAATATGCCTCTCAATTTTTCTGTAAGTTTCAAAACCTCGAGACAGTATCTTCTTAATGTAAAAATTTTTAATATTTTTTGAACAGGTTGATTCTGCAGAGTCAAATAATCATGTACAACAGTTACACAATTCAGGATCTGTGATGAGTCGGTCTATAAATGAAGAAAGTTCTGATAATGGAGAACATAATTCAACAGGAAAGAAATTGCAAAATTTAAGTCTTGTAAAATTGTTTATGAAACAAAAAAGTATGAGTGCTGAAGGAATGAGTCTTACATTGGATCAATCAGACTCTGTTAGTGATAATGAATGGCCTACAAACAATAGTGCTAGTGACAGTGGTACTAATACAAATACGCAAATACAACGGCAAAATATAAATAATATCTCTAAATGTCAAGTTCCAGAAGGTGATTTTTCTATTAATTGGGTCAAAAGTGATCAACATAACAATCAGGACACAGAAAATCAGAAAGATAGCTTTAATGACATTCCAAAATCATCGACGATAAGTGAACAAAAGGATGAAATGATGTCATCTGCGTCTATAGAAGAGTTATCAGAGAACATGTCTAAATCAGATTTAACACATGGTAATGATGCTGAGGAAAATGACATTGATGTCATTCCTAATGTTTTCGAACATCAGCGAAAAACTGCATGGATTAAATCATTAGAGAAGAAATATCCAATATGCAAGACGACAGGTATTCAAGCAATAGCTGAAACAGAGGATAATTCGGTTCAAACATCATTAGTATATACACCGCCTGTAAAGGAAAAAGAAAATCTGTCTCTAAAGGAAACAATTGTTAATAAAAAGCCAGTCTATGTTGTATATCCTAATTACGCTTTGCCTGACTTATCATTTCTCAATATTAAAGATACAAAATTGGATAATATAGCCTTAAAACCGCAATGCTTTGGAAAAAATAGAGTTAGCTGGAAACATACTGGTAGATCTGGTAGACCATTTTCATGTAACGATATAGACACGTTGCGTCAACGTGGCTTTTCACATGTTAAGGACTGGGAGTCGTTAACATTCCTCTTGCCTGCTGAGTACAAGAAAATTTTGCACGATGTACCAGAAGTGTCGAAACATATTAATATTCATGAAGAAATGAAAAAGCCGCTGTTTTGTTTATCCCCTCCAATGTGTCATAAAACTCGTACTATAAGTGAAATCATACCAAATAATTCATCCTCCACCAGCAGTACCGCGACACAACCATCCTCCGGATATCGTGGTTCTTCTACCATATTAACGGACTCATCAACAAATCAACAAACATTAAATGCAACCAATCCATTGTATCTTTACCGTTATGATAGTATTAGTTCTGAGGCCAGTTTAGTAAGTAATGATAAAAAGATGCATAGACAAATTAGTAAGACAAAAACAGTTTGTCCGTCTCTCCCAAAACGATCTATCTCTTTACCACACGGAGATCGTGAATCCGAATTTTCTAGTGGAAAAGTGCCACCAAGACCACCTTTACCCAGAAGTATTTTAAGGAAAAGCAAGGTTCCTGCAAATAAGAGATATAGCATGTTCGAGATGGGAGATGTAGAAGAAATAGAGGATCAGTCTGTTCCTGAAACGAATAAAAGAATGTCATTACAAGAACCATATTATATGAATAACGATTTACAATTAACGTGTCGTGGTCGAATTATTGATTCAGAGAAAGATGTCGATGAAACGGAAGAAAAATATCATGTAGAAAGAGTGAATGAATTGGCTAATACTGGCGACTTAGAAATTGAAAATTGTGAAAATAGTGAGGATGATGTAAAACAATTGGAGGAATTTTTGAAACGCAGTGGTTTTTCGTCACAAAGTAGTGATGGAGATACTGAAGATCCCGATGTTAAATTAAGATCGTATGTAAGAAAGTTTTTAGCTCTCAGGATGAATAAAGATGTTACCAAAGTTACTGATATGATAGAATCACAGAAAAAGACTGTCAGCTTTGCCGTAAACCAAAGGAAAAAGTATTTAGATAATAAGGTAATTTTACTTAAGTTTCGTAGTACTATTTGTATTAAATTTCACACGTGATTAACTTTTGGAAAATATATTTATTTTAGGTTAACTTAAACATTGTTACAAATGAACAAGAAAAAGATTCTGCATTTACAGAGGAAAGAAGAGCAATGAGCCCAGATAATAAATTGGATTTAGATGAAAAGAGAAGTAAATATATTATTTATAATTTTAACAAAGTTTTAATTCTATATTATAATTATTTGTAAATTTCCAGAAATGATATTATCCGTAAATAAAGCGGCAGATTTATTACTCAAGTATTGGAATAGTGAATCAATCCATAGACAGAATTACAATGATAAAAATGAATGCGCTCAAATCTGTGTTAGTAATTTATGTCCAGCTTTGTATACTATCATGTCAGATGGATTAAAATCGCATTTAAGTTCAACATTTGGACCAATAGCAAATAGTGTTTGGCAAGTGGTTGAAGCATCTTCTCAACAAGGTCCAGTTACTAAAACATTAAATGAATTAGTACAAAAAATTAATGGCGATGATGTTATTACTGAGGGAATGCTAAAGTTTCATGCATTTGTATTTGGTTTATTAAAGTGAGTTAATATTGCAATATATTATTTTATGTACATATATTATAATCATATTATAAATAAATTATAAATTTTTCAGTTTAAGAGCTTTGGACGCATGGTTTGCATATTTGTGTACAAGAGAATCCATCTTAAGGAAACATTATAATAGTAACAGTTTATTTGTAGCAGCTTTGGCTAATGCAAATGCGCGAGAAGTTGTCGATGCTCTCTTACATATTTTAAATCCTCTTGCATTTTGCCCTTTTCAGCTTGATCTTCTATATCAGTATCGTCAACTGCATAATAGTTTTGGCAGTTTACATAATCATACAATAAATGTTAGTATTATTAAATAATTTTCAATTTTACTTTTATTATCAAAGCTTTACTATGTAATAAAACTTTATTCTAAAAATATTTCACAGGCTGTAAACTTTAGAAATATTGATGCAAAAGAACATCATTTTGATAAAACGGATACGTGTGTAATGGTCTCCAGTCCTAGAAAAGTACGTCCGCGATCGTGCGTCGCTTATAACAACTACGACGAGAAGCCTGGTGGTACATATAAGTCAGATATGGAAACTGTTAAAAAACGCTTAAGTAATCCTATAGGTTCGAAAATATTTCGTGCTCTTGATAAATTGGCTTCCGAAGATTCTGAAGATTACACCGATAGTTTAGAACATTCACCATTGAATAGAGCGTCGAATAAACAGCCTATATCAAGGAAATCTCATAATTCAGAAAATAAAATGGACGACGAGGACAATATGTCCGGAGAAGAGAAATTTAGAAAACTTCAAGAAAAGTGGGAATTAATGATTGGGAAAGAAGACGCAAAAATTCAACCGACGATATCATCGCCTTTATCACCTATAAGAACACCTACCGGTGTAGGAAAATCGAAGATACCTAGGCTTCTTACTTCGCCAGTAAAACAATCAAATACAATATCAGGACCTGTTAAAAACACGAAATCTCCGATTTCCGGGATTCCATCCTTGAAGAAGCCTGTTATGTTATCAACGACAAAAACCACTCCGAAAAAACCAATAGACGTAAGAAACAAAGATACAACAAAACGTACTAGTAGAGTGGATCAGGAAATTATAGGAACAACAAGAACTCATCTAACACGACCTAGTTCTCTACCATACAAGTCCTACGGTGTAATGTCTAAGGATAAACATTTAGTATCTCCTCAAAGACGAGCAGCGTCTACGTCTTTACCACGACCAACTACTACTAGTACTACAAGAAATCATCCTACAAAAAAACCACTTAAGTAAGTACAGAGAAATTAAATAGGCTCAATGTGTTAAGCATATTTATTTCATTGAATTTTTAATTATCAAAAGTTTCTTGTTCTTATTATTTTGCATTTTATAAATTCTTGTAGTTTTTTATCATATTATTTATAATTTATATATATTATTTTATTATAATAGTTATTTTATTTTAAGTTTAGAGCTTAATCTTTGGTTGTCCTTTCTGTTCCCTTTTTATAGATTAATAAAATAACAGATCGCGCATCTCGATTCCAGAGAGGTTCGCACACTCACACATAGAATGCCATCAGATAATGGGCATCTTGCATTTGCAGAAGGAGAGAAGCTGAAAGTAATTTTAGAGGTAGATAGTAAATGGTTATTATGTGCAAGAGGTGATCGAAAAGGTTTGGTTCCGCGGATGTGTGTGCATAATATTCAGACTTAGCCCCACATTAAATATCAGTAAACAAAAAAATAATTTAAGTGAAATAAAGGTATAAAACTTTACTGTTACGAAGATATTTGATGAAATGAAGAAAAAACGTGTACAGTGTATTAAAGGAGAGGCATAAAATTGTTTTTAAAATATGATATAATAATTGTTTGGAGCTTCATTTATATCAAATTGCGATAGTATTATCAGTCATACTGTCATTGACGAGAAAATAGGTATCACTAGTCATAGGCTTTCAAATCAGATTATATTTAATTAATTGAACATACACCTATTTATAACCAGAATGTACATATATACAGTAAAATATGATAATAATAATGATAAAGACGATAATGACATGTAATAACTTATAATAATTATGAATGTAACTGTGATCATAGTATATAGGTAAGTTTATTAATGCGACTGTGCGATAACGTTGAATTTTATTTTTAACCTTCTAACTTATATTTTATCCTTATCTATTCCGTACATCGTACGATTAACAGATATCTTATTTAATTTTATCTGATGTATAAATTATTACATCACGTGCTTGTGGTTCGCAATCACATTTTTTTACTTGCTTCATGTATTCTTTAGTATGCTGAAGCATACAATGTAATCAAATAAAATCTAAAATTGTAATTGTATCCCTGTATATTTCCTCTGTGCAACAGTATATTCCCTGTAAGGCATCTTATTTATTTAGAATATGAAGATAATGTAAATAAACGAATAAATATAAAATGTATGAATTAAAAAAAATAATGTGCTGCATTGTTTAAAAATATAAATCCTTTAAAACTTTTAATACTTTTCGAATCAATTTAAATTATGTTATACAAAAAACGGATTTAATACAATTAAAAATATCTAAAAAAAGAGAAAATTGCGATTTTAATAAGTAGTAAATAAAAAATATGTTACTAAATATATATTTATATAAATAAAATTTTCATTTTTATTACTTATTAGATATGTTCTTGCGTTTTGTGAACTTTAGTAAACCAATTTTAATTATTTTATTTATTACAATGTTTATTATTTTGCGTTTTTAACTATGTAATTATATATTATACAATCGACAAAATAAACTGTTGTTATAAGATAATTGTAGTGGTATGACAAATGATAATTCGTTTTCATTCCTAACACATTAATAACGCTAGTTTATTATAAAACAAAGGCGAAGTTATCTACATGTTTAGATATTAAAGAATGTTACATTATATTATTTTTCCAAGCACCGCTTTTTTTTATTCCCTCTCCTATAATGTTAATGTCTATGATCGATACCATGATCGTTTCATATTCTGAGGAACTTTTTCTATAATTAACACTCCTTGCATACAATTTTGTGAAAATTATTTTTTGTTAGAATTGATATATTTCATCTGTTACTTCGTTCATCGCACGAAATAACATTTTGTTCTGTATAAAAATTTGTCAGGCCAACGTTACAAAAATCTGTTACTACATAATATGATTTTGAAAACAGTTACATTCAATGTGCATAGGAACATTCTATTGCTATGAGTCATATTATACTTAAATTATAAGAAATTACTTTTTTCTTTAATGATCTTATTTCTAAAAATTACGTTTTACTAAATTCTATTTACAATTTTTGCTATCTTAAACTGAATACAGATATAAATGTCTGATTAGTTTATTTATAATACAATGTAATTCAAATAAAAAAATACATAATGAAATAGAGTGTTTCAAAAATGTATTATGCAATGAATTACTCACAATTATATATTAGTAGTAACAACAATACTAAAAGCAGATTTAGAATTAAATGACATGTGTATGCCATTTATAATATGAAACGAATTACGGTATCGGAAGTATTTTGACATTTTAATACTACAAAAGACGTTTACAAATATGATTTTAATAGATATTTAAAGATGAAGAAACTTCTGCATTGGGCTAATGAGTGTATAATTAAATGATAAAATCAACATTATTTAAATAAAAATTGTCATGAAGTATGATAATTTTTCAAATGTTTTATAACATTTTTTAGTAATTTTATGTAGAATTAGATAATAAATTCAAAAATATTAACCAGATAACAAAAAAATAATTTAAATAACAAAATATTAAGAATAAATTTCTTAATTTATATTGAGATGTGACGACATCAAGAATTTCTAAAAGTCTGAAATCATAATATTAATTTACATTAATATACAATATAGACTGGAATGCCATTGCGGTACTGTCAGTATTAAACCTAACTTCTGTATATATTCATGGGATGATTCAATAAAAGATAAACAATTTAATGTAATGCACTGTATGCATGTCTATGATTATCTATTTATATACAAGGTGTTTCAAAATATTACTTCATCATTGCACTCCCTTAAAATTAGTACATGCTTAACAGCATAAAATTGTAAACATTATTCGCTTTTTCTTTATTATCGATTAATCGTTTTATTCATATTATGTGAACAGACTGATTTCTGTGTCAAATGCATTGCTTCCTAACTTTTTACACAAAGATATTATTGAATTACATAATTATATAACAATTAGCAATGATGTGTAAGATTAGAACATTCCTATTACACAATTTTTACAAACAAAATTCGCAGCATATACAGCATATATCAAATAAAAAATTTCTCCATGAATGCAGTCATCTGCTTTTCGATATGTAAAAGTCCAAAAATTTATTAAATTCTAATGTAGTAATTAACCCATAATTGATTTTCACTAATGAAATTGTGTGATAAATGGTATAACTGTTAAACAAATTATAATTCATTTGATCATTTAATATTACCCTAATTATATTGCAAAGATGAATATTATACAGAAACTTCTTTCTTCATAAAATAAAATAAAAAAAATACTACATAATCAATTATAGGTTAATTTTCTATTTATAACATCGTATGTTAAATATTAATAGGTACATGTTACCGATTTCAGTTTCTTATCTAGCTACAAATTAATATACAAAGATGAAGCTATAATGTGTGCATATATTTTTGGCACTGCTAAAATCCAGTATCAAACAATCTGTTTATCTTCTACTTGCTCTGAGAAATTATAATTGTGAATTATGGGAAATGTTTGAAATAGATAGACCTTATTTATTATTACAATACTTAAATCTCATACTTATTATCACAGTTTGTATAATGCGATCTTGATTGCATCAACTTTCATTAAGCCCAAAGATTTGACTATTCACAAAATGAAAGATTATAGCATAGATTTGATTTGTAATACAACTTTGTTTCCTTTTAATTAAAATAATTCAGAGCAAGTAAAAGAAATCATTTGTTTAGAACATTCAAATCATTATTTAAATATATAAATGAACCGTTCGAAACGTGCATCTTGAATAACCATTATTTTTTAAAAAATAGTTTTATATTGTAGTTATAATTATCATTATAGAATGAATAAAAGTTCAAAAATTGTGCAACCTTGTTGTACACAGTCTTCAATATAATAAACTTGGAAGAAATTATAATGTAAAAAGCAATATTATCTAAAATATTGAATACTGAATCTAGTGAAAATATTCTTTAACTAAATGATATACATCATAAAAAATTATATATATTGTAAAAAATTGGTCCAAGCAAGATGCTCCGTTTCCTTTACTATTTTCAGCATATAAATAATAGATAATAATTATATATTCAATATAATTATGTAACCTCTCTTACATATCCACCGTGAATGTACTGGATGCAAGACTTACTTCAAAGCTGGGTCATGTATGTAATAATTAGAGAATCACTTTCCTTGAGAAAACTGTGTGCTGCTATAATGAAATCATTATAGTTAAAAATAAAATACATCAGGAAGACTTTTACTTGGCTTAATAAAATTTAATCCATGAACAGTATACTTATTAATTTTGATTGTTCAATATATTTTTGTAATCTACATTTTATATACTTCGAATTAATAAGAAAATTATTCATTTAATAAATAAAATTTAAATTTAAATAAATATTATATATATTTATGCAATGTACTTTCAATATACTTATCTTCACTTTTCATATTATATAATATAATGTTTAAAATTAAAAAGAGGTCATGGAAAAAATCTTATTTCGCGAAATAAATTAGTCACCTTAAATATTACACGCTTTAAAATGCAAAATAATCAAAGTTCATTTATTTCGTGCAAAAGTCCTAATAAATTCCTCATGGCTTCCAATCAGTTAACTTGACTGTTTCTACCAGGTACTTTGTATAAAATTGAGTTATCTTTGTAACAATTCACATATGATAAGACTTTACAGATAAAAATTATTCATTGAATATCCACTTGCCGAGTATTTAACTTATTTTGTTATCTCTGATCAATCACTGCGTGATCGCTAACATCAATGAGGAATACAATTACTCTATATAAAATAAATTGCAAAATATTAGTAAAATATATTTTATTTGACACAATAAATTGAAACTTATTTCTAAAAAAAATGAAGAATAAGAATCTCAACATCTACGTTTGTTATTAATACTGTATTTATAAAGAAATATCTTTAATTGCATCGCAGTTTTCACTTAAATGAGAGTTACAAGTGAAATGTAAATTTAAGAATAAAGCTCTTTTTATGATGAACGTTTTAGTATGAACGCTCGATTTATTCGTATTATTTAATGTTCCAAATTTTTATAAAAACTATATTATAAAATTTAACTTTAATATAAATGATTTATATACAATTCAAAGATTATATACAATTCAATGAGATAAGTAACATCAAGACAATAATTAAATGTAATAACAGCTTTTAAAAGAATTTATCTTCGTAAAAATATTTCTACTTATTACTGTCATTTCTACTTATTATTTCATTAACAGAAACAATTTTATTCGCGACAATTTATATCATTTACATCATGATTTATATCATAAAACTTTTACAGAAAAGAAAAAAGCGAAAAACAATCATTATAAAATAGCATGCAATATTTTAACATTCCTCATTGATGTATGCGTAAAATTATGGTACAGAAAATGGTTGTGCAATTTAACTAAAGCTATAATACATGTACATTAACTACATACTAGACTCCTTAGTGGTAATAGTCTCGTTGGTATTATCAACTCGTATTAACGTCGATGAATTTAAAACAAGCGTCCTACTCAATGTAGCAACTCTTTCCATTACACAAGAAGCTGAAAGACGTGCTTCAGCATCATGATCCCAGCACTCTTCCATTGTGTCACATATTGATTGTAGTCCCTTAAACAAGAATATCAAATTTAACAAAGATCTGTTATTTATGATTTTATATAAAATTGACTTACGGGATGTTTACGCCATGTTTCTAAAATAATTGGCCTTTCTTTTTTATGCACAACACTTTCTTGCATATCTTCCAAAGTGGGATGAAGACCTACTTCATCCTCAAATGGTAATCTATATTCCCCAATTGGTCCCTGAAGCAAATAGATATAACATAACTTAATAATCAGTAATACAGATTTGATGGATCGAAATATATGTAAATAAGAGTTTACATCTTGCACTGTGCATCGCGAAGCTAATTCCCAGAGCACCAAACCACAGGCGTACATGTCGATTCGTAAAAATGAATCTCTTGTGAAATTAATTGCTCCTTCTAAAACTTCTGGAGCCATATATCTTCTTGTTCCAACCTTCAAATAACAGAAGATATATTGAACTATACATATTGTAATACGCATGAAATATGTACCTGTCCATGGGTATCTCCACAAGGTTTCCCAGGATGAAATATTAGTGCTAAACCAAAATCTGCTATACAAGCACTCATATCAGCTTTAAGCAAAACATTTTTTGACTTAAAATCTCTATGAGCCACAGCAGGTTTGTATCCATCTGCTTTATTGGCTGGAATTTCTTCATGCAAGTGCATCAGGCCCCTAATGAATAATAATTTCAGTTTTCATTGGAAGAAACGAATATGGAATATTACTTAACAACGTATTAAAATATTACCTTGCCATAGATTCTGCTATTCTACACATCTCAGGCCATGTAACAACATTTGCCTTCAAATAATCACACAATGAACCTTTCTCATGGTATGCAGTGATTAACCAGAATTCAGCTTGTAAATTGTCACCCCTCTTTTCAACGCCTATGAAACGTAAGATATCTTCATGATCCATGTGAGCAAGTTTAAAAATTTCTTGTTCAGTTTGCCAGGATTGTTTATCTTGTATTGGAAATACTTTAACAGCAACAATTTCACTTTTCAACTGAGCTTTCCATACAGCTCCAAAACGACCACGAGCTTTTATTTCAAGCAATTGTATCGGACGCAAACCCAAATTAGGAGAGGGTTGCGGTAATGGCAGAGGTTCTAGTGTTGGTACCTACAAAAATCATTTTATGTGATATGTACATAATAAAAATAGTTTATAGTGCAGCATGCAAACAAAAGATTTATAACAATTAGTAATTAAAAGATCTGTACATATGCCTTCCAAACCTCGTTGAAATATCCCGACTTCCGACGTCGGTAACACCAATATAAGAATGGCAATATAATAACAAGTAAGAGCATAGGTATCGATATTGACAAAACAAGTGTTATTATTTGTTGCTCTGTATTTGGAACGGGTTCCAATTCTGAAATATAATTATGTATACAATGTATATTATGTATATGTAGTATATCTCAATGAATGTAGTAAATCATTCAAAATACATGCTCACCATGAAAGACAGAAGTTTGAACAGGTTTAGAAGAAGAAGTTGGGTGAGGCTCCCATGTGAAATTCTGATTGCACATATTACCATCGCAACAACAGAAAAATAATTCCTTTTTTCTTTCTGCACTGTTTTCAATACAGTGTGGCTTGTCATAACAATCATTGCTATCCAGGAAGCATCCCTAAAATTAAAAATTCAATTAGGAATAAAAAGAATTGAAAAATAAATAATATAACATATAACTATAATGTAAATATTTCATGTTCACCTTTAATTTAATTATAGATTTTTTAGTAACATTGTCAATCTGCCACAATACATAGCAATGATTTCTTTTTCCTGGATCATGTTGCCCACATTCTTCTCTTCCCGAGCATCCCTGCTGGGATTCTGCACACATCGTTTCATTGTAAAATTCACAAACTGATGAACCTTTAACATCGTGTCCTAATGTAACTCCTAAAAATTAAAGATTTTTTTAAATTACATTTTTAGCAACGAAAAGGATTTATATAATAATAAGAAAAATTGACAGTTGCAAAACCATATAAATAATATTAATTACGGCTATTTGTATCTTTAATGTACAATGCCTAACAAAAGATTTTCAACCAACAATGGTAAGGTACTAATAAAAAGATTCGGTTTTCTTCTTTCGCTTTTCTCTTTTCAACACAAACAAAGATTTGTGTTATTCTATTGTATCTAGACAACTTATACTTCATACTTCAAATGTATGTCTTCAAGTTAATTTCGTATTATTGCATCTGATCAAAAACGTTCTGTCAGTGATCGTAATAGGAAACGAAAAAAAAAAAAAATCTGAACTGGAATACTCGTCATTTAATCGAATGCATATAGGATAATGAAGCACGTTTATAAACATAGAGTGTGTAATATTGGTTCGTGAGAGCGCATGAGATTTTAGTAACAGTTCGAAATGCATTCGGCGAAAGAAAATGGTACATATCACGATCCGTAGAAGATCGTACAGCGACGTTTTAACTTGCGGATGCAACTGTCAAGTGAATGATAATGGAACGTGCAATTACCTAACAATCCTACGGTGAGATATGGCAGTATCGTCACATGTAAGAACATCGTGAACAAATCATGAAAAGCATACCAGAAATTTTTCAAGTCTAAACGCACGGTTGTTCACGATCGTGGCTAAAGCGCCGCACTTTGGTGCGCAAGGTCCGGGATTCGCGCTTAGCCGTCACATCTGGGTTATTTCTACGTAATCCACACCATCGTGTACACCTCTTTCACAAATTCGATCGTCTACGACACCATTCTTTCCCATTCGAGTATATCAAAGCTTAAACAAATTGAAAAAAAAAAAAAGAAAAGACGAAGAAACCGAGTCTATTAGCTATTAAGCAAATTGTAGTAATTCATCCACCAACACATCTCTCTTCCTCTCCTCTCCCACGTTTATGTCGGAACGCGCACACCATGGATTTATGTCATTATTTTTGCCACTAAAACACTTCTTGTTACTTTAAGATCGCCGTATTTAATTCGGAGAATGAACAAACAAATTTTCAAGGTTTGAGTACACGTTGGACGTAACACAGTTCAGAAAAATTGACAAAAATCAACTAAGCTTGAGAGGATATAAAGCTACATGCCAGATGCATCGCAGATTAATCATAAACTAATGGATCGCAATAGAAGTACTACGCTAATAGAAAGTTGGTGTGTTCGACATTTGCAATTTATATTTTATTTTTCTTGTATTTTCTTCCTTAAGTTCGATACCTCGTGAAACATAGGAAATGTATAAAATAGAGATACGAATTTCTCAATATCTTATTTAATATAAATTATGAAAAAAAAGTAAATCTGTGAAATCTATAAAATACATTTTTAAAATTTTTACATTGTAATGCTATATTAAAACAACAATTATTATATTTATATATTACGTATTATTACATATATTGTTATATTATAAAATTATTTTAAAATTTATAAAATCTTAGTCGAGGCATATATGTACCTCGTCTGTGGCATCAATTTTGGAACACAACCATCACTATCGACCATTCGTAATCTCGTTTTCAAGTAGATAGCTGCTCTTTATATCTTGTTCGTTAGTGACCGATGTACGATTTGGAATGCATTTTTAAATTACAACCAAGAATCGTCAGTGAACGGTAGTTCATGATTTTGTCTTCTTCTAACTTAAGGTAGTCAAAAACTACTTTCAGCATCGATGATTCGGATGAGAGGCATCTGTACAGAACAGTGTTAACACGTTCATTCGCGGCATATTTTTGAGGTTAGATGAAAGGCAGTCGCACAGTGATTCGATAACCATATCGCTAATTGAAGTTTTTTTTATGAAGTGTCACAACAACGCTTAACGTTTTCCTTACTTTAATAAAAAGTGAACGAAACTTAAAAAAGAAACAACAGATTTAAATGACAAATAATCATGGCAACGTCTGGTTCTGATAAAAAGCCAAGCATAATAATTTTAGGAGGTGAGTATATATTATATATCGTGCGATAATATATAACGGAAATGGTAAACAACACAACTAAAAAAGATATTTTATCGCTGAAACAGGATGCGGTTTCATAGGACGTAATCTCGTGGAATATCTACTGGATAACGATCTTGTGTCTTTTGTACGTGTCGTAGATAAAGTACCACCGCAAACTGCTTGGCTAAATACTAAACATCAACAGTTATTTAAACATCCTTTGCTCGAATTTAAAAGCGCTAATCTAATCAATACAGGTAATTTAAATTCTGATAAGAACGTTTATCTATTTTTGACGAAGCAATTGCGATAATTTTTTTTACCAAACGCGCACTTTACGATTTACGAAGCTTTTGGATTTTTGTTTGTAGCATCTTGTCAAAATGCATTTTTATCGGACAACCCAATTAATTTTGTAATCAATTGCGCTGGAGAAACAAAGAGCGGCCAGACAGATCCAGTGTACAAAGAAGGAATTTATAAACTGAGTATGAATTGTGCTCAACAAGCTGCTAAATTACAAGTTGACCATTATGTGGAAATATCTTCTGGTAATTTTAGTACTTCTGAAAAGGTACATGAACTTTAATATTTTCATTTTGAATAATTTGTTACAAAAATTAAAGTGTAACATCTCAATAGAATCCTCTTAAAGAAGAAGATGTTGGGGAACCATGGACATTTGTTGCAAAGTACAAGTTACAAGTAGAGAATGATTTAAAAAACATACCAAATTTAAATTATACAATAGTTAGACCAGCTATTGTATATGGCTGTGGTGATAGAAATGGATTAAGTAATAATTTAATTTCTAATAAAAAATGAACAAATAAACTGAACTCTTTTCAAATATTTTATATATAAAAATTAATTTTCTATTCTAGCACCACGTTTAGTAGTTGGAGCTGTTTATAAACATTTGGGAGAAATGATGAAGTTACTTTGGGGACCAGATCTTCACATGAACACAGTTCATGTGAGAGATGTAGCCAGAGCTATTTGGCATATAGTAAATAGGCCAGAAACTATAGACCAAACATATAATGTTGTCGATGATGGTGACTCAACTCAAGGATCAATCAGTGCTATAGTTTCAGAATTATTTAATATCAATCATGATTACTGGGGTACTGCACTATCTACACTAGCTAAAGTATGGGTGAAAACTTTCTTCCATTATATTCTTCTTTTTTTATGTATTATATCATGTAACTTTATATGATATGTGTGACTGTGTGTGTATGTATAAATGTATATTTGCACATATCACATACTTATTTTTTCCTTAATATAAAAGAAAGTAATGAAATAATATTATTCTAAAGATATAACTATGAATAAATTTGAATATATGTAATGCAAATTTTAGATACAAGTTAAAAACATTATTTTGTTTATATATTTTAGACAGATATGAATTCTGTTGTTGAAGAAGTAAATGACAAACATATGGGACCTTGGGCAGAAGCTTGCAATAAAGATGGAGTGGAAAATAGTCCTCTGTCTCCATACATAGATCAAGAACTTCTTTACAATAAGCACTTATATCTGCAAGTAGGAAAATTATCAAATATTGGTTTCAGTTATCTTTATCCAAAACTTACAAAAGATGCTTTAAAAGAGGTAAACAATTTTTCAAATTACTAAAAAAATATAAATTCTGATGAGAAAAGTATTATTTTATTTATTTATAGGTTCTTGACGATTATGCAAATATGAAAATATTTCCACATTCCTTGGTTTTATGAATTTTAGCAATACAAACTGCCAAGATTAAATAATGGAGAAGCTTACAATAATTTGTATGAAGTAACTTTTGGAGCGTTTCACCTTGTGCCTAGTAATCCAAGTTACATACTCTATTGTATGTTATACAATTTACTCGTATTTTATCTTCTAACAAATATCGTTAGTTGAATTTATAAAAAAGTACAGATGGAATATGAAGATTTCATGTATAAGCCTATTGCAAATGTGATAAACTAGGAATTAATGTACTTAATTTTATTATAGTTTGAAGTATACAATTTTTGCACCTTAGGGTTGCTAGTCAAGTTTTGACATTAGTTAAAAAATATTGAAGAACAAACATAAAACTAGATATTTACATACCTAAACATGATATATTATAGCATGTAATGTTATTTGGATAAATATTTTAGAGAATTATGTGCATCGCCAAAATGCTTTTTATACTGAATTTTTCAAGACTGGGAGTATAAATAAAAACTGTTAAACAGTTAATGAGATTTATAGAATCGAAGGATTTTGTTTCCACTGCATTCCACTTAATGTATCTTCCAAAAGCTGTGACTCGTAATTTAGAAATCTTTTTATTCCAAATAAATGATATCTTATGTTTATATAAATTTAGTATATTAGATATATTTAAATTATATAATGTATTAAATCAAGTACAAATAATATTGATTAAGCTAGAAAATATTTCTAAAACGCCAAACACAAAAAAATTAATAAAATAAACCTACTTTTTACATAAGATAATATAAAAAAGCGGCAATAACTGCCAAATAAAATTAATAGCATAACTCTTCGGAAGCAATTGTTATTAATTCTTTGATAATAAAGTTATTCATTTACGCATTTATTTACTTTCCTATATTTTAATACTTTTTACAAAACAAATTTTTCTTAGGGTTGGGTATATATTTTTAATATATATTTTAACACAACCAACATCGATACACTGTCTTAATTTTATTTCAATCATTGGTTACAACAAGATACTGCATCAGAAGGGTCAACAATATCATTAAATATTTCGTGTATCGTTTTAATACTTTAAACAATAAGATTATAATTTGATGTAGTTCATTATACATAATATATTAAAATATATACTTTTAATATTTTTTGCAGATAATATATACACAATTGTAGATAAAAATATTTACAAACTAACTGCACCCTAAAAAACAGTATAATTATAGCAATAGATTAGCTGTATATGTTTCAGTAAAAAAAATGATAAGGGTTTATGAAAAAATAAATTAATAAAGTTTTCTCAATGTACAAAAATTGCTATAATTAACGGCAATGATACAAACATCAAATTTCTTTTACCGGGTTTACTTTTTCATATATATCTTATATAAAATAAAGTATAATGTCTTGGCTATATCTACTCACTGTATATGAGAATAAATTTTCTGAGGTAAATTGTGTAAATCTAAATTATAGTGCTGTGTAATAGGTACTGAGGTTAAGTTAAAATTAAGTAATGTAAGATATCTACCCTTTGAAAAAAGTGGCAATTATGGAGGTATATTTATTTGACTAGAGTCGCCGTACAACATAATTAATACTTTATTTGTGTATGGCCAATACTATTGATACTTCGTAAAAAGAACTATTGCAAATGAAATGAAATAATACTATTTTTTTATCATTTAGTAATACAAATTTAATGATATAATGGAAGGTCAAATTTAATGTATAAATGATGAAAGTAATATGAGTAATATCTTATGTACTTAACTGAAATATCGCTTAGCGTAATACAACAGAGGAATAGATTATATTTCTAGATCAACGCATATAATAATTTATAAGACAAACAAATACTTTTTTAAAAATCTTGCAATCAAAATAGCCTCAATTCCAATATTTTTTTTTATATATCGTTATATTCTAAATATAACATTTACAATACTTGATATTTTCTATCTGTAGCCTAAAGATAATAATGTTTATTGCTTTGTACTTCAATATTGTGTAATCAACAACTTTTGAAACAAATAAAAACACTCGAATAACAGCACGGCGACTCTATTTTTTGCTTTTTCTTTTTTGCAAAGTTTGAAACTTATTCATACAATTAATCAAAATTATTACGATACCAATTCAACACCATTATTTCAATTCATTTTAAATTTAGCGAATGTTGTCTTACTGGAAACATGTTATATAAGGTACAAATTAACGCGAATAGTAGACAAAACAATATCTCGCTTAAAAAATACAGTACATTATGCTGCTAAAAAGTAAAAATAATCAAAATATTACAAACATTGATTAAGTTTTGTATATTATAAAGTCAAAACAGCTTTTAAAATGATAAAGGTATAATATTTGCCTTTATGGAATATTTTGTTGTTATATATAATTATTATATCTCTTTTCTTTATCAATGCTTTTGATCTATCATTCTTTTTTTCCTTAAAAATAATATCTTTTCCTATATAATTTTTTTTGTCCTTTTTTTCCGTTAATGTTAGAAAATTGTACAAGCTTAATAATTAACATATACATACAGTGCAAAAAATTTTAATAGTTTTGATGCAGAAAGAAAAATGAATTCATGAGCGTTACTAGTTGCTTACTATTATATATCAATTCTTGTTTCTTATTTAATTCTAAGAAGAGTAACAAATACTTTCAACAAATATAAAAGTATACTACTATATGTCAGTAACATAAAATGTAACAGGTCGTGTTAAATATGATAACAAATGGAAAACAAATCAGTTAAATAAAAATCACAAAACAAATATTCTCTTTGTGAAATGTGTTTCTGTTTCATAACAAACATAATTTGTTGTAAAACTGTCGAGAATAAATAGCTACAATAGTTTGTCTTCATGAAATTGAGATTCTAATAATCGTGATCGTAAAATATGTAACGAATTTCATAAAAATGAATTTCGTATTCAAATGAAGTTACTTATTTTCATAAAGCTGTAATCAGAAATTTTTTTAATAATTCACTAATACCGAGAATTTTGATAGAAATAGAAAAGTTGAGTTACGTTCAAAAAAGTTTAGTTATAGAATATACAATATAAAAAATCTCTATTAATAGCAACATTATTTCAACATAAGGCAGAATAATTTTTTCAAAAATGACTTTAAATTATATGTTTAACAAATTATCATGTACAAAGATGTAAAACTCTGTATAATAAATATATGGTAAAATCTCTAGCATGTGCAGATTGAATTAATTCTATTTTTACACGATTTCATACTGTGCTTGTAGTGACTATATTATTGCATAAATTCAGTGTAATGTGATCATTTAAAATAGTACTGAATGTAAAATGTAATAAATAACAATTAATGGAGGTACAATAATAACATGACATATCTACGTCTCACTCTAAAAGATATAGCTTAGACTATCAGGTACTGTGTTGGGTTTTTCTGTCATGGTAACATGCACCAGTCTGGAATATGTTAATAGTTTTCTTTCGCATTTTTCACTTTTTGCTTTTGTATGATGTAGTTAACTTTAAATATCTTGTACAACATAAGATTTATCTTTATCATGTGAACAGGAAAAAATATATATATATATATATTATACATTTCCAATGATTAAATTAAAACAATTTTTTTAAGATCTTTTTATATATATTATAAAATGCTGTTTTTAAAAATTTTATTGTTATTTTTTCCTGCTCTTAAATGTTTCAATAGTGTATAATACAATCATCAAACTTGTAGTATAAAAAAGGTCCTGTTAAATTATATAATATGGACATTTCAATTACTCTTTTTAAAAATGTTTGATAACGTCTTATTTTTCAATAGAATAAATATTTGCCAAGATTTTTAATGCTATATGTATAGTTATAGTCTATTTGTAATAAAAAAAAAATCTAGACCATAGTTTTAATACACAAAATCTGATTAGTACTTTTCTTAATATCTTAAAACCTAAGAACATTTTCTTGTTAATTTAAATTTAATTAATAGAAAAAATTAAGATTTTGGAATGATCAGTACTATTGCTCTTTATAAAAGCAATATATATTATGAAATAGATTAGGCCTTACCCGTAATTTGGATATTTAATAATTTTGTCTTCTAGTGTGAAGGAATGCATTATTTACTTTTTCACTATTATTCGAAACATATTTTATGAACATACTCATAATTAACAAGCACCCTATTTTCAGGCGCATTAAGAATTTTCGTATTACCCCATTTATTTAATTTTCATCTTTATAGCTGTCACCTCAATATATATATGAGCAAGTTATCTAATGAATATTATTAAGTATCATTTGCATGGTGTATCTGTGCCACAGTATTATTTCACATAAAATGAAGTTTAGAAATTACTACATTCCTTGTCGATTCTGCTATGGGAAATATGCGAAAATACTGTGTTGATAATAATAACTTGCTTTGAATTATATACAAGACAATAGTTTAAGTGTCCAGATTCAACGCACTTTCAAAACACTATTATTTACATTAATCATGTATGCATTAGTATTTTCATTTACAAGTTATGTTGTATTAAACTTGTAAAATACAGTAACTTGCATTGCTTTTAACTTCCTTGAGAATTCTGTTCTTGTAATTCATACATACGTAAGTATATATACTTCTGTATGTATATACAAGTTGCAATCAAATGATTCGAGTTGCACGAAAACTTTTAGATTCTACCTGTTGCACGGGAGCATAGGAGGAAAATATGAACACTCAGATGTATTGCCTAATGGTTTCATCCATTTGGTCCAAGTGCCGGAACAGATATATACATAGATTTTGGTAAGGACGTATCTCCATCTGGACAACCAGAATTATTATTTAAACTGCTATTGCTACTGCCTAAAGTACAATTGACCACCGTAAGCTGCGTGCCATCTAAATCTTGTTCTGGTTCTTGTTCTTGTTTTTGTGTATTCAAGACAACATTGTCTATTGTTTTGTACTATATTTCAAAATATCTATTAGTTTTGTATATAAAATTATTTAATCATTTTGTATAATTTAAAATGAAAACTGTCTGTACCTGAGAATTTTTTGATATATGAATATCTTTCGGTTCACCATTGATTTCCCATGATGGTAATAAAGGTTCTTTCACACAAGACTCGAGAATTCCATTAGATTTGCCACCCTAGTGAGATATTTTCACAAAATTTTTTAAATATAGACTTCTGTTTATATACATTACAAACACGTGTTTACATACTTTCGTATCCGAATGTGGATTAGTTGTGATTGGAGAAGTAGGACAAAGAACAGCAAGTTCAATTTCATTAGGCGTCACTCTAGTATTCATCTGTTGACTCACTGATGTAGAAGACTGATCTGCGCAACATCTATTTCCATTCCGAATCGAAGTACGACCTTTTGTAGATTGCGCTGTTTCTCTCAAAATACGCGCATTTTCACATTTTTTTCGACAATAGATACTGCATAAACAAATTGTAATAAATCCAATACTTATGCTTACACCAAGAATTACACCTAAAGTAAATATA